TGTTATTTATTGTACTTATTTTTAAACATGTAACTTTGTTCGCTCTTAAGGGAAGAACAATCGATTTTCTTTAAAAATTAATTTGCGTTTAAAAGGACAATTCTTATAATGACCCTCGACAACAGCGATTGTTTTTGGTTTTGTTTCGTTGTTAAAAGGCGGTCCACCAGCTGCTGGATGCACTTGAACGATTCTGTGGCTGATGTCGCAGTCATTAAAGGTTTTTGTGGTTTTGGTGTCAAGCACAACGTCTGCACCACCCCGCCCCCTCTTCAAATTGTTGTGTTTTAACCCTCTAAAGACCTCGCAGCTATAGCACACTTATTTTGGTCCTTTTACTTTGGGTGTCGGGGCTTTCAAGTGGTAGTTTCTGGTAGACGATCCACAATAAAAAATTCTTTATGGATAGTAAAGATATTTATTACGTTTTAGTAAATCATTATCTTTGAAGCGATGGTTGGTAAATTTCACTGGTATATGCAAGCTTTTTTGTTTATTTTTCTTTTTTTTGTCCCCCCAAAGAATATTCTGATTTTGCTTAGATAATTTTCTCATTCATTAACTAACTCGGTTTTTGCTTTGCTTTCACAAAAAGCCACTCTTTTTTCTGCCCTCTTTGCCAGAGTGCTGGAGCTGGGAAATCAAATTTTCCTGCCTTTGTTTTCCTCCTGTTGGACATGGGGCTTACCACCTCTTTACTATGGCATTGTTCAGTTGACTTCCGCAATTTCCCTATTTACTTATCTTTATTATTTGTCCAAATGAGCAAATGGTTGGTCTGCTCTCCGAATACGAATGAGGTCCGTTTCAGGTAATTACATTCCAGTTTTTCCCCGCCGTCCTTTGGGGTTTATTTTTAGTTTTTTACCCAATTGCACACCGCATTTGTGGGGCAACAGGAGGGTCGAGCAGGGGAAATTTTCCAGGTGGTCCAGAATGAGGGTCGCATACGGGTGGCCAAATGGACTTTTAAGTGCAGACTCAGCTCGTTGGCATCCTTGGCCATTGATTAAGAGTAAACAGAGCATGTAAATGTTTGGATATTCAAACTGTGCATTTTTTCTTTGTGGCTGAATTTTTGCGCAGTTTAAAGTTCCCCCTTCCCCCAAACGTGTGTTTTGTGTGAGCATGCCAGAGTCACCCCGAAATGTTGAGCGAGTCAAAGCGGAATTCAGCATTTTCCTCGCCCACAAAGTATAATGAATAACAGCACTGCCAGGGAGCGAAAACGGAGTAGAGGGTGGAAAAGCTGGTCGGCCACACGCCACCCAGCATTCGGGGCATTGACATTTTGTCTATCTGCAGGATAGAGCCCTCAGCCCAGGACTTCCCCGTTCCCATATCCACTTCGATTCAAACTCCCACTCTCGGCAATTCCACAACAGGCTTGCACCATAATTCTCGGGCCGCCATCGCTTTGATTTTCCGCGCTGCGACAATTTCGCAATACTAGGCCGGTCAGTGATGCACTGAAAGAAATTGTCTTAAGCGCGCTTTACAAGGTTTATAAGGTTTTAATTTTAGTAAGTGACGTGTGTGACAAATAGTTTAAGATGGCAATTACATGTTTCCAAACATACAATCAGTTTGATTCATAGAACGGACAATAGCTTTTAACACGACCATTAACCTTAAATTGGCTTACTTTTTACCTCTATCATTATTTTAGCGCCTTTACAGATACAGATACCCAATCGTGAGAGTTACAAACTTATAAGTATAACTTGCAATAATTATTTTTTTATATCAAAATTTATATTCTTGCTGCGAAGGAGACATAACCGAACCTATAAAGTATAAGAATTTTTGACCAGCATCACTAGAAGAGTCGAAATTATAATACCCCCTCCAAGGTACGATAAATTTAAACAAAAAATGTAATTTCTCTATTTTTGATCTTTTTTTTTAATTTTTTTGACATACTTATTAATAATTTGATAATTCTCAGATTTACGCTTTTAATTTTATTCAAATCGGAAAACGATTTCATATAGCTGCCATTGAAACGATCGAAAAAATTAGCTTCCTTTATTTTATTTTATTTTATATCCAGCTGTTCCATTTTTTCAGAAGAGCATCCAATACCGAAAACCAATCATGTACTTATATTGTGTTATCTATTTTTTCTAAAAATTAAAATATGGATGCACCGTGCAGTAACAACTATTTCTTTGAGTGTCGATATAGCGAATTAGCGCTCTCCGCCGGGTGGTAACTGGTTGGCAGGATAACGGCCGCTTCAAAGGACCGCACAGTGCAGTTAATAGTTTTCCAATGCCTCCCCCGGCACACACGCATTACCCCCTGACCTCTGACCTCGGATCGCCCACAGCGACACCGATAATCATGTTGATGGGCCTGCACTATTGAACTAAGGCTATGGCCACCCCACGAAACTTTAGCCAGCTTTGGCAATTCTAAATAGGAAAACAAAAAAAAAATGGAAATCGACTCTGTGGGCTCTCCGCTTTCAATTTGGTGGAAATGTCTGTTTCTGTTTTCGGGCCCTGTGTTTTGTTTCCACTACATTTCCCACACTTTCCCAGTGCCCTGGATGACCATGGGATTTGCCTGTAAGTCGACCCATTTGCACATTCTGGTGGAGGCAAACTGATGTGGCGCGATTGTTTGCCAAAATTTATACGCGACTTGTTGGCGTTTTCAATTCGGGGGTATATTTAGGGAGAACAAATTGTTAAAAGTGTTAGTACTTTAAATGTTTTAAAGTCAAGTCAAACATAAAACGAAATTTCAAAGAAATTAAGCTTCTAAGAATGCCAACGAAATAAAAAACCTTGTTAAATAAGATCAATATTTATATTATCATTCTTGGAATATTAGATTTTATTAAAGATTCGAGGAAAAACATAGTATAATTTTAAAATTATACAAAAATTAAATGAATATTCCCATTAATTTAATTTTTCCTAGTCTTAGCTTTATTATTTATTTGAAGATTAAACTTTAACTTGCGATTAGATTAGATCAGTAAAAGAAGGCTTGTTTAGTCTCCAGTAAATGAGTTTGTAAACTTGAGTCCTTATCAGTTGTCTAAATGCAAACTTTTTGAATAGAGCAATCGATTTCAAAAGGGAGTGAAACGACATTGAATTGCCATTTATGTACAATCAAGGGTTTCAAAATCTTCTCAAACGAATGAACAAAACATCGTCGGTTAGGGCTGTTGAAACTGGCTGTAAAAGGCGTTGGCTACAACCAACTGTTGTCCATTTCGGACCCATTCGAAAGCGGCTTACTGCGAAGGGACGCACGTGTGAGTGTGGCAATTGGCAGGAGCAACTCATTAGCGCAAAGGGCGTACAATGTGCCTTATACCCATATAGCCATAGAGCCCTATAGCATACATATAGCATCTGGCCATCGGCTCGATCCGTGCGTGTCCGCAATTAAGGTGATGAGAAGGGGGGCGCGAAGCAAAGGCGAAGGGGGTGTGGTCCGTACATATCCCAGTGACGCGACAGATTTCGCTAATGACTTTGGGGGGGATGGTGGTTATCCACTAGATTCCCTTCCTGTGCCCTGTGCATCAAATATCCGGCGCTAGCCCAACCTGAACCACCTTCGGAACTTCTGTTGATGAATCGAAAAACTACTGGAATTAGATGTGCATGTCGGCAAATTACTAACCCCCCTTCGCCCAGCCAGCTGATGATGTATCGCCGCCCCTGGGTTGGGTTCAAAAAGTTGTTAATATTTTATTTGTGGCAGATTATTTAACTACGGAGGGCCCACATAAGCAACACACTCGAATCATAAAGTTCACCTTTAAAAAGTTTGAGGATAGGTGGATTTTATGACTTATTTGAAGAAAAGCGTGGAAATGCAGTGTTTTTAAAATTAAAATCGCCTTTAATAAAAACGCTTGCGTAATAAAAACACATTTTTTGTGAATCTGTTTCTCACTAATTGAATTTCTTAGCCAAGATTAAATCGCTGCTCATAGCTAAGTTATATATATACATAATATAATATATATAATATATATATATATATATATATATATATATATATAGGTATATTTGATTGTAAATGCTGTTTTATGTCTATGGAATTTCAATATGACTTTACAGCTGGGAACAATAATAAATAAAGAGCTTAAGACTCTGTTATTAGACTCAAATCATTTGGATTAACCTATTGTCAAAAAAAATGTAGACGAGTCACAATTTCCGTAGGTATTGTCTAGTCACTTCGACTTCGTGACTTTTCTCCTTTTATGTTTGTTTTATTCCTTTGTTCTGGACCATAACTTTCGATGAAATTGCATTGAATTGTGGAAATAATCGCCATAAAAATGTTTCGTGCACGACTTGTAATTGGTTTAAGAATTTATGAGGGTTGATTGTGTTTTCTTTTTTTCTTCCCCCTTCGAAATACATACAGGCATAGAACTCAGGTCATATATATGGGGTTTAGAGTTAGGGTATGGGGAGTTTTTATGCTCCGATAGGGGCCATTGACACCCTTTGTTGTTATGGCTTTACTTTCGAGCTTTTTTGTCGAAATGACATTTGAATTGTTCAACTTGATGCTCTTTAAAACCCCTTTGAAAGTTGTCAGGTCGAGATAAAGGTCAATCCCAGCGATGATGATTCATACATGCGAAATAATTGACTTTTTTGTGAAATTAGGGGCTTACATTTTATATTATTAAAGCTGATAAGTCCTTCTGGAGTAAAAGGAAAATAATTATTTTGTTATATTTGCTGTAAAAATATTTAAGATTAAAGTCTTCAATGGTTTTAAATCAATTTGACAATAAACCAATCTTTAAATTTAAGCCAGGTGTGATCATGTGCTTGGGAAATATATGAATTACATTACATAAGTTTCAAGCTTTTGAAGTAGATTAAAATTCGGGAATGAAAAATGATGTCGCCGTAATAATTTTGTTAGCCAATCTATAGATGCAAACCTCAATTTGTCTTGAATTTGATTTGTGTATCTTGCTGTAACGTCAACTTTTTTCTTATTTTCAGAATATGCCTGGCAGGTAGATTTCTGCTTTTCCCCCCAACGAAAGGCCAACAGCACAGCAAATTTTCTTCCTGGCGATGAGAGCTTAACAAATGACACTCGTTCTATGAGGGATAGGGATTGGAGCCATCTTCCATCGCAATCGCAATCGCAGAATGTGTGTCAGCGACGTGGAAGCTACACAATCCTCCCACTGAGTGGCAGCAGGAGATTCCTTAGACAGACACCTCTGATTCAATCGGCAGCGGCAAAGAAAACCAAGGAAATGCGGAAAAACTCAAAGGAAATGGCAGCGAATCGCAGGCGAAAGAAGACAATCGGCATGCTGACATCGGGACTAAAATCAGTAGTCAAGTGGAAAATTATTGTATCATCCATAATGTTGCTCTTATTAAGCGGGACAAGTGAGTGAAACTCATTTACAACAGAACGTCTGACTGCTTCTGACACATTCGTCCCTGAACAAATACACTTGTAGACCAACATGCGTATGCGTATACGCAATATTTGAACACGGAAAGTGGTTGCATCAGTAGCCATTTCGAATTGGTCAAATAGGCCTCTTCCTTCCGCAGTTGTTTCACCATACAAATGCATCTGCAAAATTTACTCAAAGTTTACTAATTTCCATCTCGTATATTGATTTACATAATCGCACTGAGTATACGCATGGTGGGTTCAATTGTTTGAGCTTTTGTTAAACCAACAAATGGAAGCAGCTTGTTTTGAATACCCTTTCAAAAAGAATTTAAATTGATATATTTTAGGGGTTTTACGGAAATCTAGTACTATATATTCCGTATATCTACGATTTTAGGATTACTTTTTTAAATCTTATTCTTCAATTGGTTTTAAATCGTTTAGGGAATATTATAAAGATTCTTTTGGTTTTGTGTTAAAATTTCGGGTAAAAGAGATTTCTGTGACACCCATAATTGTGTCGAATTTAAAAGTTTAAAAGACTTGCAAGGAAATTAAAAAAAAACAAACAGTAAAAAGACATTCTCACTTAAAAACATTTTTTTCAAAAAAATAAAAACAAATAATAACACATTTAGCTTGCCAATACATTTTAATTTAACATTTTTTTATCTAAAAACAATATTTTTTTAAAAACTGAACATTTAAAAGGATTACATTTTCTGTAAGCTCAAAAGAGCACACATTTTTCATTAAACAAATAGTAATCTGGAGGGGAAATGTTTTGTTAAAGAAGAGAGTAATTGCTCTTTGCTGTCCCGGATCGAATTTTGCCCCATTGTTTCTTGTTTTGCTTGCATAATTTGTAGCCGTGGGATCTGTTGGATGCGACTCAATTTACACGACCGGGGCGGAGTAAACAATGGCAAACGGCTCTTGAATGGGGCCAACAGAAGGCAGCGACACGAAATAAATTACAAGGATTTATAAATCTTATCTTTGCTCCCTTTTTTCCCTTTTCTCGTTCCATGTGGTTCCTGTGAATCCTGTGTGCGTCCTGTTTGGGTCCTGTGCCTCCTTGCCAATTGTCGGCATTGTGTGCTCCTGTGTGCTGCGAATCCGACAAAAGGTCACGTGCTGGCGGTGCGAAAGGGTCGCCTGATGTCCCCCAGCTCGTTCACCGCCCTCAGCGGGGACCTGCATGTGCAGATCCAGTTCGGTGGCAACGAGGTGTCCCCGGAGGAGGTCGGCAACGGCCCGGCCACCGAGCAACACTTGAGCACTGACGGGCGGGACTTGAGGACCGGGAACAACACCATAATGAGCACTTTAGTCATTAGCAAAATCATTGATGACGCTGAACCGTCGCCGGCGCAGGGTTCAACCCCTTTGGCTGCCATTGCCACTACCACTGGCACTGGCAATAGCGCCACCAATAGCAGTCAACTGGTGCTGCAGCGAAGACGCAAGGAGGTGATCCAGAACATACCCCTCTTCCCGGACCCGCGACTCAATGTCACCCAGGTGACGGTGCCGTGCCAGACCTTTTTGATCGGCGGTCGTTACGAGATGCAGGTGGTCAGCAATTTGAAGTCGGTGAACCGGAGCGAGGTGACCACCACTTTGGTGCCGGCCCAGGACGAGCGACTGCTGCAGACCCTCGACGTTCGATGGCCCAGTGCCGAGATGATAGTCAGTCCGGTGCGGCTAAGGACCTATCCCAAGCATCCCGTTGAGGTGACGCTGCGCTTTCCCGAGGTGAACTGCAACCAGTCGGCGGGTCTGGCGCTGCCCGAGTTCTGGCTGGAGCTGATCTACTGCGGCAAGGAGCGCAGCTGCAGCCGAAACATAACCCGCTCTAGTGTCCTCTTCGCAGAGCAGATACACGGCTTTCCCAAGAACAAGAGCCTGCGCCTGGGCTGCGAGCTGTTCGGATTGGCCGGCAACTATGCGGTCCAGCTGCGACCCATGGTGCCCGCCCAGAATGTGCCCACCACCCGGCGGCTGCTGAGTGTCGACTGGAGCGACGAGTTCGTGTTTAATGTGTACGCCCGCAGCATCTTTCCCTGTGATCCGCACACCGGCATCGGGGTGCTCTACGAATACCCCGGCTGCATTCTGGAGCAGGGCGACCGGGTGCGGCTGTATGCCAAACTGCGGGCCGATGTCGCCTCCCTGAAGCCGCCCACCTCGCTGCACTATGTAGCCGAGCAGCGGGTCGTCAAGAGCCAGCACTCACTGTACTTCGCCTGCGACCTCTTCTCCGAGAAGTACGTGGAGTACTGCTTCGTCTACGTCAGCCAGGCCATTTCCGGAGCCGTGGCCGACGTCCGCATGGACTGCGTGCCCACGCTGCCCGTCAGCGGTAAGTCGATCTCCATGTCCATGTCCATATCCACCTCCATGTCCATGTCCACTGGCCATTAAGTGCGTATTAAACATCATTAAAAGGAAAATCCCAATTAATTCGTATTTAAATAATGCGCAACATTTTCTTGCGACTGACTGCTTACTACACTGAAATTTCTAAAGTGACTAAAATATTTATATGCAATTTAATGAAATGATTTTGGTAGACCCATGACTACGCAAGCCAGCTTATATTGTTTCACCAACATTTTTTGTTGAAGACTTTAATTCAAATTGCTTTAATTAAATTATTATTTTGCCATTAAAGTCAATAATATGATTTATAACTTAATTGAAATTGTATGACAGCTTTTTCGTTATATCGAAATTTCTAAAATGAAATTTTATATGCAATTTTATGAAATGAATTTGATAAATCCATGTTTGCAGCAGCCAGCTGATATATTTACTCCAAAATTTTTTGCTGACGACTTTATTTTAAATTTCTTTAATTAATTTGTTTTTTTTACTATTGAAGTCAATATTATCATTCATAATTTAATTCAAATTGTTGTATGCCTGCTTTTTCGATTTATCGAAATTTTTTTTAAAATAATTAAAGACAAGACATGGAAAATGCAATAACAAAATGGCAAATAATTTGAATATTTTAATGGGTCATGGGTCTAATCTTTGTTCACCATGAATTTCAATTAAATGTTCATCAATTCCATTATTGTTTTAATATTGAATTCAGTAATTAGATTTACCGAACATTTAGGTTATAGGCCACATATTTTGTTAGGCTTAAAATATTAATATTTATTTAGATTTATATTTATAACAAATTTTGGGTAAAGTTTATTACCTTACATTGTTGTATTTAGTTTTTGTTTGCCACGAGCTTTAACTTTTTAAAATGGACTTTCATATTTATCCAGCACTCTAAAGGATTTTAAAAGCTTACAAAAAATGAAACAGTAAAACAATTACCATCCTTTTATAATATGTATAGTTAAAACTTACTTTATAAATCACGAATGGATTAGCTTATGACAGCCCTCTTTCCGCAGATTCGGATACCGGTGGCTGGGGACCTTGGAGCGAGTGGACTCCGTGCTCCACGAATTGCCTGGGAGGAACCCGGAATCGCTACAGGTTTTGCGATTCACCACCCCCGCGATATGGAGCCAAATTCTGCGAGGTATGTAATGTGACCCCTGAAAATAACTCGGTAGATTAACCTCTGAGCGACCTCTGCCTCCATCTGATTAGATAAACGTTAGTAGTAATAGTCAAAGTTTGATTGAGTGCTCCGAGAAATGATTAATACTCCAGCGCATCTAAGCGGAAGCATCAAGACGATTTCAATAAGTGCGGAACTACAACTAAAGACAGGCGAACTTCGCCCGACTCTGGGGACTCCCTTTCCCCGGAGATTGCTTCCAGTTTAGTTCACAGTTCACTCGACTTTCCTACACTGAGGAAATCCGTGTCTAGTTGATTGACATATACAAGTCGTGAAGCTTTTTAGGCATTCGATAGCTCATATACTTACATCTTTAAAGATTCTTTACAAAATAACACTAAGAAGATATTCTAAGGTCCATGATATGATCTTTTATTCTATTTTATTTATGTCTTTTTTTACGCCTTAGGTTCTACGTCCCAATAAAAATACTTTTAAATGTAGATAGACTAAAAACATAACTACAACTAGCTTACATCTGCTTCTTAATAGTGGTATATTAATTAAAATTTATAGAATCAACATTTTATTAGAAATAACTCTAGCTTTGTGCTCTTTTCAGACTAGGTATATTTATAAGATAGTTTTAATATTTATATTTAAAAAGGGAAGTACAATTTATTGACGTTAAAATACCTATTTAAGGCTGGACCGCTTTTCCCTTGCTTTTTCTATAGGAGCTAATACATCTTTGTGTTACATTTTTTGTTTTCTGAAACTATTTCTACTTGATACCAGCACAGTTTCTTTTCCTCTAACAAATTCTGTATTTTAAAATGCGACAAAATTGCTTTGATATTAATATGAGAAGCAGAGTTTATACAACTTAAAATATTATTTTTTTCCTAGTTACGTTTAAATGAAGATTTGATATTCCCATAAAAACAAACCAAATTAAAAAGAGCTAAGATGATTTCTTTTAGTGTATTCCTCTGGGGCAAAGTAGAACTATTTCATTGTTTTTGTTTGTGGGGCATTGGAGGAGTGGGTGTGGGAGTGGGAGTGGGTGGTGGCTTCGGTATGGCATTGTATGTTGTCTGCGAGCGTGTTTCCACACTGCGACACTTGCTCCAGATTGCGTGGGGAATTTACGACGTTTCCGACAATTGTCGGCCTACTACGCCGCTTTTTATCTTGTTTCTTTTGTTAAACTCAGTGGAACACTGAACCTTCTTCAGTACCCGGCGCCCAGCACCCGCGCATTTCATTATCCAAAAACTTCCGGCATCAACATCCAGCGATAGGGGCACATTTGCCCGTACTTTGCCAACTTGTTCGGAACAATTACAGGCAAAGTTTTTAAATGTTCTGCGCACTTATTGCAAGTAGTTCTTACACGGGAGTTGCTCCACATGGAAACTGGAAATGGAAACAATGGCATTACCGTGGGGCGACAACAATTGTCTGGGTGTGTCCTGGGTACTGGGTACTGGGTACTGGGTACTGGGTCCTGGGTCCAGGATCCACTGGGATGGCGATGCCGCCTCCACTTCCATAACAATTTGCATTTGCCCCTAAAGAATTGCTCGGAGGCGTTGCTGCCATGTGTGTGTACAAATATTGCGCCACGGGCTATTAATCAAACAAAGCCCCGGCACGACGGGCACTATTTGCTCTTAGAAAACACGGGAATAACCTTTTGTGACCACCGCAGCACCACAAACTCAAATTAGTGGCTTTTCAGTGCCACTTTAAACGTTTTGAGGCCAGAAACATTTTGCTTTTTCATGATTTAGTCGGGCAAGGCACAAACAAATTTAATTCAAATAAAATGGTTTTTGTTTTTCAGCAAATATAGCACAAATTTAGAGGAATTTATATTAACATGTTTATTGTAGAATACATAATAAAGTCTAAATTTGTTTTAAAATATATAAATCGGGCTTACGGTTAGTAACATTTTCAATGCTAATCCAGAAAGCATTATTCCCTTTAATCTTCCAGCTCTTAATAGTCCCTCTAGACTAGTAAAGTTTTTATTATATTTTTACAGAAGTAAACAGCCATGTACGTTTTATACTTTTTAAAAATATCCATTGTTAAAATATGCGACCACGCGTGCGTAAATATGCGCCAATGGAATTTTGATAAAAACTATTATTAAAATCACAAACCGCATATTTGAAAGTCTTTAAAAATGTGAGAATAAATATTTCACTTTTTGGGCAATAATTAAATGAATAAGTTTATGTGTCAAAGCTTAATTCGTTGTTTACTTCATTTGTTAAAATCCTACAAGGAAGGTTAGCTTTGTGGTTTAAGTCTTTTAAGCCATCAAAGGTCAAAGGGTAAGCTTTGAAAAGCTTTTATCGCCTTGACAACGGTTGTTCAACTTGTTGTTATATTGCAGCTTGCCTTATTAAATTCAAACAAAGAACGATGAGTGCACAATTTCCAAATCATAAGCAATGACATATGTTTCAAAAATCACAAATACACGACAAAATTGTTAGACAGTCGAGTCGAAAAAGGATAGGAGTAAGCCTTTAAGATGCCGCCAAAAGTCAAGAAGGAGAAGAAGGATGTGAACAAGGTGACCCAGGTGGACAGGACCTTCTACGAGCTGACCATCACGGACCTCAACCAGAAGCTGGCCCGCCTGCGATCCCACCTGACCAGCGTCGATGAGTCAAATGTGACCCTCACCGAGAAGCTGCGCGAAGTGGAGTCCGACGGCGTCGATGTGGCCGCCCACTTGGAACGCACCTTGGCCGAAAGAAACAACTCGATTACTGAGCTGGAGGAGCGCCTGGTGGAGATCACCAAGGTGCGCGATGTGGAGAACAAGCTGGCGCAGGAGAAGATCGGCGATCTGGAGGCCAAGTACAAGGCCATGCACGACCAGCTGACCTCAGAGATCAAGCTGCTCAATGGCAAACTCAACTCCCTGGACGAGTTCCGCATCCAAAGGGATGTCCTGCTGGCCAAGTTCGATGACCAGGAGGCGGAACTCAATGAGCGCGAGAAGGACCACAAGGAGGCGCTCTACAACATGGAACAGCGGGCGGTGGTCGAGAAGGATGCCCTGAAGAAAGAGGTGGAGCAGAAGCTGCTCCAGGTCTCCGAGGACTTCACTCGCTCCAGTGAGATCCGCAATGCCGGCTACACCCGTCGCCTGATCCGCGAGAACATCGCCCTGCAGAAGGAGATCGATTTGCTGGTGATGTCACAGATTAAGCTCCAGCAGGCCTACACCAACCAGAAGTCCAAGCACAAAGAGATGGAGGAGCAGTACAGTGCCCTCGACCAGATCAAGAACGAGCTGGTGCGCAATTCGGTGAACAAGATCAAGATCATCGAGGGCCTCACCCAGAACTACGAGAAACTCAAGGCCAAGTACGTGGAGGTGTTGCGCTACAGGAAGGCCTACGAATCCCATCTGCAGGCGGAGAAGTGCCAGAACGTCAAGCAGAAGGATGCGGCCGGCAAGCTTCGCACCCTGGCCAAGCGTATGGAGATCGTGGAGCTGGAGAACCGGAGCCTGGAAGTGGTTCATGCCCAGCACGAGATAGAGATTACCCGCTTGCGTGGCGTCATCCAGGAGATCAAGTGCACGGTGCGTGATGCCATTGTGGCGGAGCAGGCGGCCAAGACCTTCCCACAGCGATTGGCGGAGGCCAAGGTGGATGATGCGGCTGTGATAGCCGAGGTCCGCGAGGAGGCCATCTCCGTTTGCAGGCTGAAGCGGAGCGACCTGCTCTCCCAGCTGCTGACCATCGTGAGCTCCCATTCGGAGGAGCTGCCGAGGACGCCGTCGATTGCCTCCATTGGCAGTGCCACCTCATCGCTGTATGCTCCCGGTAAAATGGGCTTCATGCCCGTGCGACCCAAGCCAACGCCATTCGATGTCTTTCGCAGCGAGGTCATCGACCAGGAGCCAGATCTCACCGTTCCGGAGGACTTGCAGAAGCTCAAGGCGCAGGATCGGATGATCGTGTCGCAGCGCGGCGACGAGAACTCCATCATCGACGTGGAGTTCGGCACCACTCTGTACGTGTCGTCGTCGCGCGAGGACGACCTCATCGAGGTAGAGGAGGAGCCGCTGGAGGAGCCGGAGGGCTCCAGCAGTTCCATGTCCGTGAAGAAGGCCAGCAGCGAGGGCTCAGTGGCACCGCCCGGAACCGCCCCCCTTGCCGCTTCCGTGTCCTCTAGGGACCTGAAGGCACCCAGTATCGCCACCATGGACACACTAACGGGCGCCTCCAAGCTGACGGGCATCACCAACGAGGAGGAGGCCGGCGAGGAGGGCGAGGAGGAGGACTTCGATGTCCAGTTCTTCTATTAGTCTGCAAATTACCTAGTTGTCTGTTCACTATTTATTCCACTTTTGTTGAGACTTCAATAAATATCTGCAGAAACAATTGCCTTTTAAGCACATCAAAAAATATACAAGACGGTTATATGAGAAGATAAATATATTATATGATATGATATTAAAATTCAAGTTCCAATCAGAACGGCATACTTGATTGTGGAGTATGCCAGTATTCACCTTTAAAAGTAACACTTATTCATGTTTTTTGATATGCTTAATATAGATCAGATTTCATTTTAAATTCACCATTGAGGATTTATTATAACGAATAACGAATAAAACGTTGTATCTCATTAATTGCTTTTCTTGCTAAATTGGGGCTTAAAATTAAACAATTTACAATTTATGCGAACAATGAGGAAATTTATATGTGAACTACTGGAATAACGTTTAATTTTAAAAGGCAAGCCAAAGTTTGTCTTATAATAACATAATAATCAATTTCTATTTCTTAAAATATATTCAAATAAATAATAAAGCTATACCTTTATCATTTTCCTAATGTTCCTACAAAATAATCATCCGATTTTAAAACAATTTAAGCCGTATATTTGAAATAATAATATACAAATAGATAAATAATAATTTTAAACTAAAATTTCTTTTTGTTTAATTTTTTTTCGATTGTTCTTATAGTCGTCCGATCAGGCTTGTACCGACTTATATACAACCTGCAATTGAAAGACAACTTTTGGGACTTTTTTCATTCAGATTGCTTTATGACTGAAATACTATTTTTGTTAGATCGACGCTCTTAGTAGTGCTGATCAAGAAAATGTATACTTTATAGAGCCGGAACTGTATTCAGTATATAAATTTTGTAACGATTAGTATAACATAAATTTGATATTATAAATGTTAAGTTGATAACAAGTTTTGCTTGCAATAATAATAAATAAGTTTAAATAATTCTTTAAAATATTAGATAAAATATTTCATTACCAACATCTCACTGTTTTTTTATCCTTTCCCTTTGCAGGGTCCATCTGTTGAGACTCAAAAGTGTGGCAAGAGTATCGCGGATACGTGGGACTGCATCTACGAGACATCCGGCACTGTCATCACCAAGGAGAACAGCACGGAGGTTAGCCAGGAAATCGGACCAGGATGTCGTTGCGGCTGCATTGTGCACTTGGGTTCTTCGAAGCCCAAACGAATCATTGCGGGTGCCACACAAAGTTGTCCTGGCCGCTCCTTTTGGCTTATACAGGTACAACCCATTAACTGACTCCTAGCTGAACCTTTATACAAAAAAAAAAAACAGGCTCACACTTGAAACTAGCGAAAGTTAAGTAAAGTTGCCCTTTGGCATTTGGTCAAGTTTTTGAGAGCTTTCAAGTTGTCTGCACCGCCATAACTATAAAAACGAACAATGCCAAACACTCCGAAGTCCAAGTCCATGAATAAAATTCCGCAACGCTTCGGAGGCTGGCCCCCAAAATGACAAAGGAACCCCACTTAATGTACCATGCCACAGGGAAGTGTGGGTCGAAATTGGGCATTTCTGGCGGCCATGGGGGTTGAACTCAATTCATGCATAATAAATGCCCCACTTGGTAGGCGTTTCGACCAGTCCCGAAACTATCAATGCGTAAGGGGTCCATTGGGGTGGGTTGAGCTCTATGTACCCGGTATCTATGAGTTGAAGGGTATGTTGCACGCAAGGTTCTGAATCTAGAAATCATAAATTTCAAACAGATACATTTACGAGGGTGTCGTGTTCTACCTACCTATCCTTAAACGGTTTTCTTTTTCCAAAACATTTTACCACTTCTTTTACCTGCATTTTCCCTAAACATAAAGGTTTGTTTTACCTTTAATTTTACAAAATCTCCATGTTTTTTACAGAATATTTATATATTTATTATATTAACAAGCAACGGAACAAAATTAGGACATCCTTCTTAAATTGATGATTAAGTACAGTAATATGTTTGTTTATATTAATTTAAATTTGCAATTTTAAAAACTTAATTTTAATAATTGAATAATTTTATTTACCTTCAACTTTCTCAATTGATTAATTATTTTAGTAAGACATAAATGTTGCCTACATCTCTTTCGCTCCATGTTTATATATGTATAGATGAAATTCGAATTTTTACACAACCAACTTGTAGTAAAATCTCAAAAAGTAACATGAAAAATAATCCATATTATTAAAAATAATATTTTTTGAGTAATGGGTATCACAGAACCAAAACTATAGAGTTTACAATTCATACGCACTTTTTTCTGCCCCTTTTTGGCCGATACAATTGGAATGATTAGACCTGCCAATTGGCACGTTCCATGGGGTGAGGGGAGAAGTGCTGATTGGAAGGAGGCTAAATGGTGATGAATGCCTGACCTACTTGGGGAGTTTCCCTTGTCCGGGAATGTGGAGAAGGCCAAACATTTGCCCGTATGCTCACAAACACAAAATTCTTTCTTCCCAGGTGGATGGCGATGAAAGCATTTCGCTGGCACTGAGTTTCCTGCGTTTGCCGTGTGCCTCCCAGTACATAAAGGTGCGCGATGGTCCGTCGCTCTCGTCCACTCTGCTGGTGGAGCTCAACGGAGGTGGCCTGATCCTCAAGGGAGTTGGAGTTCCGGTGGCCGTCGAGTCGACTGGAGGCCAACTCCTGGTGGAGTTCTCTGCCGGCGATGTTGGCCCAGCGGCAAATGCATCTACTTCGACTCAGGAGGGAAGTGCAGCCTGCACCGGAGGCTTCATGGCCAATGTACAGCAGCAGTTGGGTAAGTAGAACCGATAAATCTTCCTGGAATATTTATAAGTAATTTATTTAATTTTACATCAGCATCGAGGAGCAGGAATAGCAGTGCCACGCTGGTTGCCGCCACTCGTTTGTCCGGAAAAACACGCTCAATTTCCCACAAACCTATGTCTCACCTGCGTTTCACTCTGGTACATTTAAGTGCCATGATCTTTGCCAGCATTATCATTATAATCAGTGCCCTGCTAGGTAAGTAATGGCTATAGGTTTTCTAAGTTCTGAAATACAATAAAATTTGTATTCGTATCCTTAGGGGCCCAATATGTGGTGCGGTATCGGAAGTATCATCTGGCTGTCGCTCGGCGACAGGACGAAGGCTCCCGCCTTCACACTCCGAGGGCTTCGCTGAGTTCCCTACAAGGACCTCCTTCGCGGGCCATGTCCACCACCACGCTGCTCTCGGAGGTCATTTACATGGTCAAGATGCGGCCCAAGCACCACCTGCGACACTCCATTCTTCGCGAGAGCGTGGATGCCGAGAATCTGACCGGCGAGACGGAGTTCAAGGAGTCCGACACACAGGGAATGCTGGCCAAGTGGTGGGTACTCTCTAAAAGATTTAAAAAAAATTAAATAATGAATTGTCTTTTATTGGCATTTCTTTCCAAAAAAGAACTTGTTTTTCATAAGAAAATCTTTTTAAAAAATAAAGAATTATAATTTTATAAGCATTCCTATTTTAAATAGTAGTAAATGATTGTTAGCTTTTTTTTCAATGCCATTTCTTGTTCTAATGATCTGTTTTTTATTGCACTAAATTTTATTACCGTCAGTTAAATTTTCAACGTACTTAGTTTATTAATCATCATGTTCCATATTATTTGATCTTTTTTTTTAAAAATGTGCCCTCTTAAAGTGAAAAATATTCACATCAATTGGTCCCAAAACTTAATAACATAATTAAATAAATAATAATAAATAATATATCAAATCTAATTTGTAATTGATAATTATACAAAAATTATTTATATAATTTTTGCAATCCCTTGCAGCGCTGAAGTCAAAGAGTTGGGAAGCTCGGCATCCATGGTCACTCTGCGAAACGAACGATCCTCGCCGGCGCGATCTCTGGACACCGGAAGCGTCGTTGGATCGCCCTCCTCCGCCGAGGCAGAACTGGCTGAGGTCCACAGCAGGACAGGTGGGTGCAAGGACTCACCCACAGACGACCAGCTGGAGCCGGCCAGCTGCAAGGACAGTGCCAGGGACTCGGAATCCATCATATCCTCGGGCATGAGCTCGCTGTGCAACAGTCCGCCGATGAACAGCAAGCGGCTGAGCAAGTACTCCGATCGCTACGATGCGGTCACTCTGAAGTTGCTGTCCTCCAGGCTGGACGAGAGCCTGCAGGATGCCAGTTCCCTGCACTCGGTGACCGAATCCCTGAGGATGGGACGCCTGGGATCCCGCAGTGTCAGCTCTTCCCTGACAAATGTGAGTTAAGAGGTTACTCTCTGTTTTGTTCGAGTCAAAAAGTAAAGAGTTTATATATAATATTTAATTTAACATTTAAGAACCTCTGAATACTTTATTGAAGGTATAATTTCCCTAAAGATTTCGGCGTTTAATTCAACGCCTTTACATAAAATCTTAAAATGGTTTGTAAATAAATATCCAAAAGCGAAATAGATTTACTCTGTCATTATTGTTCATGAATTTTGTTGGCTTGCCATAAGTTCAAAATGATAAAAACTAAAAATGTTCCTACATAAAACCAAATTTTGGAATCTGCGCACCGAAATCTAGTATATGTAATATATTGTTGTATAGGTTCATTAATGTGAAAAAAACGTTTAAGCATATTTTCAGAAACAACCCCATTTAAAACAAAAATTAAATTTTAATTTTTAAATTAGATAACATGGAACATACCAACATTTCAAAAAATATTTGAAAAATGTTTATTTTGATAAATGAGAAATATTTTTAAAAAATTATTTCCAACTCTTTATAAATGTAATTTTTTTTAATGTAAATTTACTTAAAAATTCGATATCTTCAAGACATTTTGTGAATGGCTTTTAAAGTGTTTTAATTTTACAGGGCTGCTATTCGCCAGCTGCCAGCATTGTGAGCTCGGCGACGATCAGAACGACCAGCAATCCCAAGGAGTCCAAGGAGAAGCAGAATCGCAGGAAGCTGCTGGCGCGACCCGGCTCCGAGTTCTCACTCGGGAATCAAGAGGAACTGGAGATGGACTACTACGATTACAATGTGATCAATGCGGGATCGGCGCCGGGCTCTTACCTGGGAATGGATCCGGCATATCTGGTCTGGATACCGCCCTTCGAAGAGGTCGCCGAGCGGGAGGAGGATGACAAGACGCCAGAGCCAGAAGCGGATCCGGATCCGGAAAGAGACGAGCGAGAGCCCCTGTACGAGGAGATACGGATGCCCAAGTACGGACACTATCTGAGTCCGGCCAGCAATACGGAGTCCAGCAAGTCCACCACGGCCGACAATACACCCAGCTCGGAGGAGCGATCGCCACCGGTCAGTGGGCGTCCCTCCAAGGCCACCTCACCCTGCGAGGGGGCGGAAAAGGGAGGGAAGTCCCTGCCCAAACAACCCACTCCCTTCATGTCCAGAAAGCAGCGACGTCAGTCCAAACAGCAGATGCAATCCAGTTTGTCCCTTAGCGCCGGTTCCTTGAATCACGAACAGAGGTGTGGAAGGAGCTCCAAGCTGGCAATTGAAATCGCTGCAGTGCATCAGAAAGTGGAAACCGATGTGGAGCCAAACGATTCCATGACCGGCTCCTATGTGGAAAAGGAAACTGCTGTGGAGAAATCTGCTGGATCTGGGGATCTGCAGGAGTTTCTCTCCCTAGATGACATCCAATTCGCCGACGAGAGTGGCAGCGATTACGAGGCCGTAAATCTCAAGAAAGTGGCCAAATCGGATCTGAAACTAAATCAAGACGGTGTTCGATCAAAACTTTTGCGTAGAAAAGAGCCCAAGTCAAAGGAGGTGTCCGTGTAGCCCCAGCATGTTATTGTACATAAAGTCAGCTCGAAAGGGCCAGTGTATGTTTAGTATAGTTTACGATCTTGTAAAATACGGGTAAATATTATATTAATATGCATATGTCAGCACCACGAGAAATGTAGACCACCTGGAGTAATAGTGTTTTTAAAGCTAAGCCTTAAGCCCATCTCGATGTATACTTAAAAACCGAAAAGATTGTAGAGCAAGCTCGTATCTAGTCTCAAAGCTCTTATAAGGCTAATCTGTTTAATCCCTCGTTACCATGTATATACCGTAGCTAAGGTTCACTGTAATTTAAGTATTTATTCGCACATGGCTATTACATAAAACTTTGAAATTATTTAAGAAACCTTATTTGGCATTAGACAATTGGAATTACGAAATTTTGTGATCTTTATTTTGTGCTTCGGAGCATTGGAAATTCTAGTCAATAAAATAGACAAAATTAATTAGCATTTTAAAATCAAAAAATGTTTTTGTTTTAACCAGATATTAAGCCTTTTTATTGCCCTTACCTGTAACTTACGAAAGTAAAAATAAAATAATTGTATAGATGATAAAACGATGGAAGTTTTAAGAAATAATTTTGGGTATCCATGGGTTGTAATATAATAAAAATTTATTGTTACGGATTAGATCGTCATGCAGATCTGGCAAGAAAATGTATTTTATTTTCTTGTCACATCAGCATAACTATTTTACTTATAAATATTTTTACTACAAATGCATCTGTTCCTTAAAAAGTCTGTCCCTTGGGAAAAATTATTCAATTACATTTCTTGAGGAAAGTAATGCAGTTACCTTTCATGAGTAAAGTAACAGACTTACTTTTCCCAGGGAAAGTAATTAAATCACTTTTCGGGGCGCTGTTGCTTGAATTTTTTTCGTTTGTAAAAATAATTCTTTTGCTCTCCAAAGAGTAAAGCAATTTTTTGCTAAGATCATGCAAGCTTAAAGGTCGACTTAGATCAGTTTTATCGGGCACAAAAGGTAGTAATCCCCTACCGCATTTATCGTGGCTCAAAAAATATGCTCGGTATGCCAACAGTTCACGCCGCCTTTGCTCTTTTCTCATCTCCTCCAAGAAGGGTGCTTCCTTTTCGACGTGATTTCGCTTTATTGTTCGGCACATAATACAAGCTGTCTTCTGCTCCAATTCTTCTCCACTTTTAACAAGTTCTTTATTTAATTCTGTTGTTGGTTTCGGACTTTTCTTTATTATTTTACTTACATTAGCTTGATTTTCTTTTCTGATATCACAATTCTTTTGATATATTTGAGTATAAGGATAAAGCAGCAAATCGCGATCCTGTATTCCCTCAAAGTCAACAGAAGATGAGTCTGTTTTGTTAAGATCACCCACATCGATGCGGTTAAGATACTGCTTACACTTCCTCAATTTCTCGTTGTACATTTCTGAGGTCATACATAAGACCTCGCTGGCTTTCCTCGCCAAATTAAACCTTTCGTTAAAGTTTTTCCGGTCAATCGATTTTCGGCCACCTAAAAATATATTGTCTGTCCTGATTGTAACCAAATCTTCGACTAAGGACGGCTCCTCGTGCAGAAAAACTGATGTGATTGAGGTATCATCTTTTTTTATCGAATTGGGGGGCGATTCTGTTGCAGGGAAGAAATTCATATTCAATTGCTTCCCAGAATCTTTGTTAGAGCTGGTTGATTTATCTACGGCTTTTGAAAAACTCTTCTTTCTCATTTTGTTTTGGCTTGCTGGTGTACTTATCGTTTTTGATTTTGACTCAATGTCTGATTTACGCCTTTCTTCTTCAGGCTTATACTGTAGCTCACCTTCTATATTGACTAAAAGCTTATTTTGAGGAGTTTTCCTTTGATCATGGTTTTTATAGACCAATAGTTGATTTCTAAGTTTTTCTTGAAACTCATTGTTTTTATTAAGTATTTGAAAAAGTTTCTGACGCTCGCTTCCTTTGTTGGGTATCGGTTGATTTTTTAAATTTTCATGTTCCTTTCTGATTTTTTTGATTAGTAGTTCAATTTGAAGGTCTTTCTGTTGGTCTCTGTCTTTATTGATTATAAATTGATTATGTAAAGTTATCTGCAATTCGCTGTCGTTATTGATTATGGACGAATTTTGAAGAGGTTCCTGTAAATCACTGTTTTCATTAAATACAACTGGACTTTGAAGACTTTCCTGTAGCTCACTGTCTTCATTGAATACAAGTGGATTTTGTAGACTTTCCTGTAGCTCACTGTCTTTATTGTCTATAACTGGATTTTGAAGACTTTCTTTTAGCTCACTGTCTTTATTGAATACAAGTGGATTTTTCAGATTGTCCTGTAGCTCAGTATCTTTATTGGAAGCAAGATGATCTTTCACATTTTCCTGTAGCTCACTGTTCTTATTGGCGCCAAGAGGATTTTTATTATCCTCTTTAATAGGGCGATTAAGAATATTGAAATATTTGGACATAAAGACAGTAGATGTCTGGTTTGATACTTCTTCGATTTTTCCCTGCTTCTCATTCTTTATTATATTTAGTGTCTTGGGTGGTTTTTCTTTGTCGTTTTTCTGCTGATTTTTGGACTCATTAGAACTATTTTGAAGGGCAGGAGCTGCTCTTTCCGGTTCCTGATCGTCATTTCCTTTCTGCTCCGTGACTTCGGAGGATCTCCCCTGAACTTGATTGATTTCCTTTGCAGGAGTTTTGATAGGTAATGATCCTGGATTCAAAGAGTCTGGTTCGTCCTTGGAATTTCTCGCACTTACAAAATAGATTTTTGGCACAGGACCGGGTTCCGTGATTAAAGTTTTTAACTGTGTCACTAGTTCTTTAGGCTTTTTAATGGGAGTCCTATTGTTTGGTTTATCATATATTTTTTCTTTTTTTTCCTTGTAATTTAACTGCTGGGAACTACTAGTTTTTGATATTTTTTGAGCTCTGTGAATATTTTTTGAAAGATGTTTGCCAATAGGAACCCTTGTTTTTACTTTACCAGCTGTATTGTTGGGCTTTTCTGATTTTTCTTGATAGATTTGGATTTCTTTTTTAGGATGTTTTGTGTTAATAGACTTACGGTTTAATTTGGCATTTGAATTTATATGATTATTCGATCCCTTTCGTAATTTGTGAACTTGATTTGAAAAATCTTTGACAATGATAGAATCGGGCATTGGATTAGTTGCTTTTAGATCAATTTCTCCTTTGAAACTTCCCTGATTATTTTTTAGATTTTGGGGTCTCTCTCGAGCCTTATAGATCTGTTTAATAGGAGTCTTCTGGACCAAATCATTTTCAAACTTTTTGGTTATTGGTTCCTGCTGATTAGTGCTCCAATTTGATTTGCCTTGAATATAAGGATCGGCCTTGTCAATTTCCCTTTCAATGTTTTCTTCATTTTTATGAGACGTATTGGAAATTTCTTGAATCTTATAGATCTCCTTTATTGGGCGACGGTCAACAAAAGACATATTTGGTTTTCCTGCTGAATTTCTTCCACGAACAATAAAAATTTTTGAGTCATTTTCGTTAGTAAATGACTTAAACCTTAAACTTAATTTTCTTGGTGATATTTTGCCTCTATCTACATCGGACTTTCTCTGCTCATCACTGTTCCTACGAGACCTTTCTTGATTCTTGACAGCGGTTGACAGAGATTCGGAGTTCAATTTACCATCTTTATTGTCAGTTTCTTCTCTGGAATTAATTGGTGCCTCAGGAACAGTTTGTTTATTTGTAACTGGATTTTGAGTGGTGGAAAAATTAGGCTTGGTCTCGGAACTTTTTTTGAAATTTTCTTGTTGTATACTTGTCTTTGTGATTTTTTTAGTTTTTTTTTTAATAAGATTTTCGTCATTAGTTGATTTTCTGAACCTCTGTGTTTGGTTTTTAGAACTTTCTTTCCGCTTACCAGATCCTTGTCGTAAATTACTCGTTTTTTTCACTTGATGTTCACCTTGTTTATAAGGCAGATGTAAGTTACTTTTCGACATTGAAAGCTCATTTGTTCTCTCTCGCAGACTATAAATCCCTTTCGGTTTTGACTTAGCAGGTGATTTATGAGTTGTGCCTTTAGAATTTTGCTGGTATTCTGTACTCTTAGTGACGGATGGACGAATTTGATAGACTTTCCACACAGGATACTGCTCGTGTTCAGGTTTTTTTTTGTATTGTAGGTGCGTTCCTTCTTTTTCAGTAGCGTATGCACGATTGTATAAGATCTCCTTCATATGAGGTTGTTCATTCAATGATTTATGTCGGTCTGGGTGCTTTTTATATTCCGTTTGATTTTTGTATGGATGGTGTGTTTTTACTATATCATATATATCATCGTAAGTGCTGTCATTTTTAATATTACGTTCGAATTGAGCATCTTTGTTTTTACGTTTATATCTGCAACATTCTTCATAATGCGGCTGATCTTGACTGGCCCGAAGAATTTGGTAGAAGGTATTTTTCTTATCGGCTCTAGCACTACTTCTTGATATAGAACATCCCCTTTTTGGGATCACACAGGATGCAGTTCCGGCTAAAGGAACTTCCGGAGGAGGTTGGAGCCTTTTTCTATTCCACACTTTCGTTTTCTTTGGGCAGGTCGGCCATGCAAGTGTGCTTTTATCGAATTTGTTAATGCAGTACAAAACATTCGATATTGAGTTGGAGAGATATTTGGCATTTGGATTTATAGGAAGGGGATACGCTAACCTCTCCATAAACAGGCAATTTGGATTTAAAAATACTCGTGGGGTAAAATGAAGAGATTTTTTTATATTTCGACAAATTTGTATACGACATAAAGAAATTTATTGAGAAAGTGAAATTATCACAATAGGCTTACTAAGTATAAACGTAAATTGCTTCCAGACATGTCTATATTTCACTCAGCTGAAACTTAGTTGCACGCAGATATGATAAGGCTTAACTACTCTCAGATAACCAACTATATATGTCCAGAAACAGATAGAATACTTTGTAAGCTAACTTTATTACACCCAGAAATGTCTTTATTACACCCAAATAAGAGATAACCTTCCGCTGATGGTTGTTATTTAACCCTTTTGTGACCATAGACCCACTAGCGACACTCTCACTCATCTTTAAATTCCACTTTAAAATTAAAAATAATAAAACCACTTTCTAGATTTTTTTTTAATACTTATGGCATATGTATGTATCGATTTTGGAAATTATACATATAACAAACAAATCGGCTATGACAGATCAGAACACTAAAACCAAAATATTTTAGGCCAAAAACAGATGGGGTACTTTTGAATGATCAACATCAAATAAGGGTTAAAGAGATTGTATTTTAACAATATCTTCGAGGCTATGTTAAAAGTTCAAGTTTAACACGAGTATTTTCATTTGTACAGAAGACCAGTTGAAGACCTCATGTACTCCTCCAGGGTAATAGAATCGGCGTCAGGCTCGCAGAAATTTCAGCTCCAGTGCAAAGGACTCAATGGATTGGGTCCTGAGTGGGTACCCTTACAACAGGATTGGAGTAACCGCTGGTGTACACTCACCGAAAGATTTACGGATGAGTTTGTGAAGCGAATCCAGGACTTTAAAACGCGAAGCAGCGATGTGTTTGTGGTGACATTTATAAAGTCCGGTACGACATGGATGCAGGAATTGGCTTGGCTTTTGCTTAATCAAATAGATTTAAATGGAGCTCGAAACAGTGATTTATTGCAGCGGAGTCCTTTTCTAGAGTGAGTAATAAACTTTATTCAAGATTAAATACGATGGTAAAAAGAACGTATTAAGTCCAAATATTTTGTTGTCCATTTAAATACTTTCGTCCATTGTAGTTTTTAGTTATTATACCCGTAACTCGTAGAGTAAAACGGTATATTGTGAGTTGTATAGTTGTGAAGTTAAGATACAAGACAACTTAAGATTTCGCAATCGTAATTTAATGTCTTAAGATAATAGCTGCCATAAAAAACGATCGTGTCAAACTTGTTGATCATGCGGTATATTAAGAAATTTGTGCATTTCTCGTTCTTGTTGTCCAACATGTTTTTTTTTTAATTTTCCGACCAATACCTTTATTTATCAAAATAGCCGTCAACAGCTATAAAATATATGTCTAACTAACCGCTCCTTCCTGGCGCATTTTGAGGACTATCAATATACAACTTTTCAAGTCTACTGATCATGAAAATAGTGTCTTGCGTAATTTAATTGTTTTGTATCATTTCAGATCCATTTCATCTTCTAGCTGTCATATGTAAAATCCTAAAAAATATATATATGATTTAAATACTTAATTAATTTCACAATTTTCAATTTCTGTAGAGAGTCTGGACTTCATCCTGTGGCTTTGGATTCTATAGCAACTTGCGATAAAATTCAATCCAATCCTCGATTGATAAAATCCCATTTGCCAGCGCAACTGTTGCCCCAAGAGATCTGGACCCAAGATCGTAAAGTTATATACGTTGCTCGGAATCCGAGGGATGTTGTGGTTTCCACGTTTCACTATTACACTGGCCTAAAGATCTCGAATTGCAGTTTGGACGACTTTGTGGATTTCTTCATTGCGGATAAGGTGGTATTTTCCACATACTGGACCCATGTTATCGATTTTTATAGAATGCGCAATGAGGAGAATGTTTTCTTTGTTACCTATGAGGAAATGAAACGAGATCTAGAAAATGTGGTCAGGAGACTATCTCGATTCTTGGGTTGCCAACAGCTAAGCGATAGTGAAGTGGAAAAGCTGGTAAACCACTTAAGCTTCAAGAACATGAAAGGTTAGTGTGTATAAATGTTGTGGGAATAAAATGTTATAGCTGAAAAGTACGATTTTATCTTTCAGGAAGCAATTTTGTCAACTATACTGCCTTGCAAGGATATAATAATTTGAACGATAACTTTCAGTAAGTTTCAGTGGACGCTTTAAAGCTTTAAAGTAATTTTATTTTATGAATAGATTTATGCGCCGTGGCATCGTTGGCTCTTACAAGGATGAGTTAAGTTCTGATTCTCAGAACAAAATCAATAAATGGACAGAAAGCTTTTTGCAGGAATACGGAATTGCAGAATCTGATATTTTTGGCCACCTATAAGTTATTTGTGCTTAAAAATTTCTTTTATCACCGTGGACGGCCGCCCACGTGGTGACGATGAGCAATAAAAAGTGTGAGTTTTTTTTAATTGTCTGCTTGATGTGTGACGATCCTGGAACCGATTTAACTATATTAAGCAGATGGAGCTGAAAAACTTAAGAACGAGATACTAGATTGCCCACGCCTTCAATTTCAAAACGAAAGCTGCCTTGTTACAAAATAATTCAAAAGTAGCGTGCCGAATAAGAAATTTGGAAAATAAAAATAAATTAAGTTTTTCGGATGGAATAAATAACAGTTTCAACCGTCACCAAATTTTAGAACAACAAAAGTATATTCTTAATCAGAGTGGTCAGCGGAGTGTTACAATTTTTGGAAATGCAATGCCCAGCAACTCAAGTTTCTATTAAAATTTCAATTGAATACAATAAAAACTACCAGATGTAATGTAGATTGTATATTATTTCAACATATTTATTAATAAAGTTCCAGGAAAATATTTTGTGTATCGATGAAATGTGGCTCAAAATACAAATAGGGGACAGGTGCTAGCTTATAGTAGATACACATTGGTAGAATGTTAATTGATGACTAGCATAGTATATCATAATTAGAATTAGAGTGCCAGCGATTGGCTAAATTTATTGGTCCTGTAGTGCCTGTTGAGAAGCGTTTTTGTTTAAGTTTGTCATAGGTACTCGATTACGATCTTGTGAATACATTGTTACTTTATTAGGTTAGGAGCAACTACAAATCTCCCCCCAAACGACTTAATCTAAGATAAATTTTTACTAACGGATATAACGTGTGGGTAATATAAAAAATTGTTATTGCATTGTTTGAGAATGGGAAGCTTATATTTGTTTAATAAAGATTCTTTTTTGTGTACTTATATTAAAAAATAATAAACAACTGAGAATTATAAACTGGATGTTTAAGCACTTTTAGAATTGCAATTAAATACTTGTGCCAAAGCATGGTCCATGTGAGGTATGTACTTTAAATCATTTATAACATTTCTTTTAAATGCTTACTTACTAAATAGGCTTTAAAAAACGCAACGTTGTTCGAAAGCATTATATATATATTTAGATTTTAATCTGAGTTATTTACTCGTCGTTCAGTTATTTATCTGTGAACATTAATTTAAAGCAATCGATTACAATGTTTTTTTTCTATTAGATCAGTGATGTTGTTTTAAATTAAGTTCTACAAGAAAAAAAATGTCTTTTACTTAACATGTCATTTTTTATAAAATTTTAGAGCTAGCCGTAGTCGTATATAAAATTTAATGTTGATCCCTTGGGCTTAAACTTTTTTAGTTAGATAAACAATTAATATATATGTTGTTTTTTTTCATATAAAGCGTCTGATATCTGGTTGTATAAATTTGAGATAACATTCCTTAGCTTAACTCTAGCTTTTCATAACATTTTTGATTATTTTATTAATACAACTTGAATATAGCTTACAGAGGAGTGCATAACAGGTTATTACAATCATACATCTTTTAAATCAAAAGCGTCAGGGAATGGCCGTTAGACTTGCTAAAAATGTTGTGACTATAGCAGTCTGTACTTTTGCTTTCACAGAGATCTCAATATTTATCTTTTTTGCCTCTTAATATGTTTAAAAACTTTGGTAAGTTCAACTCGATTTTGTCTGGGTTTATAAGCTAAACATTAATGTTAACATTTCTTTGCAATACATGGCTCGTAATTAATTAATGAGTTTAAAAATAAAGGTGAGATAAATGCGCCATGACTTTGCCAAAACCAGAATTATGTTAGTCACTTCTGAATATCGCTTATGATTTCTTAGGATCAATAACTTTAGCCTCGCAATCCGTGGGATCGATGTCGTGCTCCACAACCAGCGTATTCTTCGAGATCTTATCGGCCAGCATGGTGACGGGATCTGATGCTGTTTTGGCTACGGCCGGTCGTCCAGTTGAACGCCTCCTAATGTTCTCGTCCTGCTGCTCCTTTCTGTGCAAATCACTCAGCCTGAACGCCTCCAGAAACTCGTTCAGATCCACTTTGCCATCTCCGTTGAGGTCCATCATTCGGCACTTCTCCAGCATCTCTGCCTTGGAATAGGCACCTGGCATGTGTGCCACCAGCAAATCAATCGCAGTTTCGAACTCATCCAAGGTAATTTCACCTAGAAAGTGGCGTATTTTCAGATTGATATTCAAAAGATTGTTTTCATCTTTAAACTTACCAGAATTATCTGCGTCAATTATATTAAATATAGCCACTAAGCTAGCCTTGTTGGCATATAATGCGTCCATTACTGACATGCCATCGGCCTCAGCTTCGAGCTAAAATAGTAAATAGTAATTGAAAAGAATTGGTTAATACTCTATAAAAACACAAGAACCAAATTTAATTTAATTTATTTGTGGGTCAATCTTTTACAAACTTTACACCTTTTAATTTTTCACTTCTTCGATTTGCCTATTTTAGGATTTCGTAAAAAACAATTATTGTTTTAGTTTATATTTTTTAGATACCCTAGTATGAATAAATTTCTTTATCTCCGGTTGTAGCAACTAAAATAAGGGTTAACAAAAATTTTGTAGGTATATTGGGTTATTTAATGAAATGTATGTTTTTTTTTAAACACCATTAAATATTAAATAAAACAATATTTGATTTTGTGAAATGCTGATACAATTGCTAAGTTAATTAAAGAAGAGTATATGCAAATAAAAATTTCAAGCAAATCAAAATAGTAAAATTTTTGTTATAAAACTAATTTTTAAAAAGTATGATCCTTACTTGGCAAACTATAGCTATAGAGAGTTAGTTGAATTTTAGTCGTTTATATTATATATATTCGACTACTCACAATTACATCCGTGTCTAGAAGATCCAGGGTCCTGTTGTAATTAACCTTCTGGCTGTCTGTTCCCGGGGCCAGTTTGTCGCGAAGAAGTCGCCAGGGCAGACCGAGCTTGGTGACCTTCTCCATTACCAGGCACCAATTCGAAATGGATATGTAGCCACTGTCCTTCGGATCGCACCTCCTGAACTCGTCCTCCAGCTCGTCCCGGTGATCACGCATACGCACCGCGAGCTCCTTTAGTGCCGAACTTTCCACAATGCCCATGCGTTGCTTGAAGGACAAACGCTTCGTCTGCGATGCCGCCGATATATACTGCACGAAATGGGGCATCAGCTGGTTGTTCAGGCGGATATAGGCCCCCTTGTTGGATCCAATGGCATAATAGTTCGAGGCCGAGAAAATTGTGATAATCTGCAAGGGTTGGGAGCATAAATAGGGCGTATTATCTGTTGCTTATTGTTATACAAAAATGTTGTACAAAAAATGATTAATTGCAATTGCATTTAATCGAAAAAGTGGTTAAAAAACACACATAAGCAAACCCTTTAATAAATGGAAAATACTTCAAAATTCACTTAACTGGCATTCATGTCACACGTCTAGATTAACAAATTTAATCAATACCCTCATGGCTTCTTTTAATAATTATTATTCAACCGCAATATTCCAATTAGCCACTAATTCACTATGCATGTAAATTGCAATTGCATGGCTGACAGGTCAATGAAAGTGGTGAGGGTAATTTAAGAGTGCGCGACCACTTCAAAATAATGACAGAAATTAAAATACTTATGTATATTTAATCGTACTAAATTGTGCATGTTAGTTAATGTCTTCAAGTTACTTAAATATTCTTTTCAAGTGCACCTTAATGTTAAGTGGGGAAATGAAGTACTTTACTGCTCATATCTTATAATACAGATATTTAAATAAAATATGAAATATATGAACTAACCTTGTTGTCGTGCATAAACTCATGACCATTGGGCTTGCATTCGTGGGATCGAATGACGTAGCTGAGTCGATGGCGCTGGAGGAAGTTGTCGGTTACGTCTGGTCCAAACCAAACACCAGCTCCTCGCAATGTGTTGGGAACACAGCCCATTGTGGCCTGCGGATCACTCCACATAATGTCGAAGATCTAAAATATCACATTTTAGATACATGTACCCATACAACATGTTAAACCATATTACCTGCTGCCACTCGGTTTTATCTAGTGGCTCGCCATCAGTAAGTGGTGGCCGCAATATGGACACATACTAAAAACAACTTTTCTATATATCCACTTCAGATAGTATTGTATGAATGAGAATTACCTTGCCCCGGTCAATACTTTTGATAAGATCCAGACTTGTGCTGTCCGAGAAACCTCCATGGACGATTAGTACTCGGCTATTGAGAATGGATCCAAGGGGAAGCCACCTGTAGACCTCGTCGATGAAGGCCAGAATGCGCTTGTGATTCCGCTGGACAAAAGAAAAAAGTAAGAAATTGGTTTTATTAGGAAACCATAACTAAATAACAATATTTTCTAGGGTAAGGCAAAAAGTTGTTTCTAGATAATTAGTTGTGCTCTAAGACCTTTCGTTTCTTTCTTTAAACATATATAAATCGATTGATAAGGTCAAAGTTTGTTTTTTAATATACAAACAAAGGTTTAATTTAATTTTAAGTCACTTAATAAATCACAAATTCATTTGTACGACAGTAATTCGATGGGGAAGGGGGAGAAAAATGCCAAGTGCGATAACTTTGCTGTTTTTGATTTGACAAAAAATTATTTGTACTTTTTCGCTGTATAAAGCAATTTGTACCCGAGCCTGTTAAAAGGTCATTGACTTACAGGGTACTTGCTTTCCACCTCCCGAATGAATCCATAGCGGGCGTTCATGACGCTGTCTTCGTGGTTGCCCCGATTGAGGAAAACCGCCTGGGGGAAGGCCAAGTACAGGGATAGCAGCAACAGCAGGACCTCCAAGCCCCGTTTGCCCCTGTCCACAAAGTCGCCATTGAACACGTAAGGATTGGAAGATGAAGGAAGACCGTTCTGCGAGAGATGATAGATGTAGTACTTTTATTTATGAAATAATTTTAAGAGCAATCCCCACCTTATGGAGCACCACAAGAAGATCATCCAATTTTCCGTGAAGATCACCACAGACAGTAACCTGTTGGGAAACAGCCGTGGACACTGGGGAAATATTGGGAAGCTGCTTGAGGGATTTGGCTGCCTCCCGGAGAATAAGCGCCACATATTTTGGATGCAAACGGTTTCCCTAAAAATTAACGAGTTTACTATGCGAACAGGTAAATTTAAATTCACAATTTTTACCCTTTTCTTGCGGAAGACGTCAATTAATAGATCGATATGGTTTTTTCGTATTGGCAACTCAATTTTGGCATTCACAATATCCCCAAACTCTTCAACGAGGTCGTCTTTTTCTTCCAAAACGGAAACTAAAAAGAAGACAATTCAACACATTAAAGTCATGAAAATAATTAAGATAAATAAAAAAGCTAAACTAAACTACAAACTATAAATAAAAACAGACATTTTAATTAAAATTAAAAAAAAATAATGCAATGCTCCTCATTTGTTTTTAAAAAATAAAAGTTTTATTTCCAAAAAATAACTACAAAGTTGTGTTAGCATAATTTAAAGTAATGAAAAAAGAAAATGCAATACTTGAAATTTATGTATGTTGTTAAATAACTTAAGAAATGGTATTATAATGCCAAGGGATTGACCAAAACTCACCGTGAGCCGATCCTTGATACTGGTTCTTCCTGCCCGCCGCCTGGGGCATGTGCTTAATGAGGTCATTGAAGAATTTGTATAGCTGTTGGGGGAAGGGGGGAAACGAAAATAAATTAGCACAGAGTGGGTCAACTATGCTTCGACATGGCTGCACTTGCGACAAAGTTTCACGGCTGAGTTGATTGCTATCGACTTTCGAAACTCTACAAATGCACTCGACGGACATCGTCGAGGGTTCTTGTGGCTTTGTGGGTCTCTTAAGCTCTCTGTGGCGCCTTCACCTACAAACTGGTAGTGACAGTACATACAGACTGCTCCACTCACCTCAGCCTGGTCCTGTTCGCTGGCGTACTCCAGGTTCTGGAAGATCTGCCAATTGCAACGCCTCTGCATTTCGCGACGGGCCTGATGCCTGCGATACCATTTCTGGATGAATATTGCCGCTCGGATGGCTGCAAAATATCAAAAAAAAACAAAAAAAACATGTTCAGACTCTCGAGACTTAAGGACCAATAAACAATTTTATGGGGGTCTAAAAACATCGAGGGCAACCTGCATGGGGCGAGTATATGGCCAATAAAGTCACTAGCACTAGCTGTTTTTGGCTGCCAATTTTCCCCTTTGATATTTTCGCCTCGGTCGCTTATTACTCAGCGCACAGTACACTTGGCGAAATACTCGTTTTAATCTGGGAATTTTAATCGGGCAGGGTTATAGGGGACGGGGACGAGGGATGAGGGGATTTGGAGACTCGAAATGATTACTCCCACAAAGTACTTGCCGTTCTCATCCATTTTGATGCAAATTTATTCGTCTGCTATTAACACAATGCTGAAAACGTCAAAGACTGTGGCAAGGAAAGGGGCTGATTTGGGGGTTTTTTGGGCTAACAACTGATTAACATTTACGCAGCTATAATTATTTTTTCTGCCGCTTTAAAGTCTTTACACACTTGTCTCTCCGTCTGGAGGCGAAGGCTGCGCTCTATTCTTTTTCAAATTTATGCAACCCATAAGACGGGGCTTTTATTAACGCTTCCACATCCGCTGATAACTGCTATCCGGTCGTAAAGATTATATAATTGCTATTCACAGAGATACTAAAGAGTTTTTAAATTTTTCTAATGGAATGGTTTTTCATTAAATATTTTCTCACTTCAGAAAACGCAAAAGCTTCGATTTAATACCCGAACATTTTTTGTATGAAACTATTTAAGCTTGTCAACTAGAAATTTTGACTAGCCATTAACTGTCCTTTAAACCAATTATCACAGGAGCATTTGCTCGTTAAACGAAATGGCCATTAGTGGCATCAAATTTAAATTGCAAATTATTATTTGTTACGTGCAACACATTTTATTGAATTTATCAACCGATTTATTTTAATTGAACGATTATTGAATTCCACTATTAAGAAGCACTAAAAGATGAGTAATAATTTCACTGCCTGCGAAAGATTTTTTAAAACGTGCATTTGAACGAAAACTTAAACAACACAAGACTGTTGACAACGAGTTGTTTTGCCTGACATTTTACATTTGTCCGCACACACTAGAAACTAGATAGACGTCCGACTGAAACTGGAAGCTAAAACAGCTCATTTCGAACGCTATACCCACGGCCTGCATTCGGTTTTCTCTGCTTAAACGTTCTTTTTCAACTTTTTCCATTCACACTATGGGCCAAATTACTTTTTTAGCAAGTACTTTTACGTGGAAATTTTGCCTCCTTTAAGGACGTAAGATTTTAATTATAAATAATTATTACAACTTAATTTTTTTGAACTTTACTTCGGTTTTCTCTGCTTAAACGTTCTTTTTCAACTTTTTCCATTACTTAATTTTCCAACCAAATTACTTTTTCAACCAGTAAATTTTGAGTGGCAATTTGGCATCCTTTAACGATGTAAGATATATTTAAATTTATTTAAATGGAAATTTGGCCTCCTTTAAGGTCGTAAGATTTTAATTATACAAAATTATTACAACTTAACATTTTTGAACTTTACTTGATTAATACAGTGAATTCCGTTTTCTCGTTAAACTGTCAAATATGTATTAAACATTTTTTCTATAATCTATTTGAGAAAACGCGCCTGAAACTGGAATCTCTTTGTTCAGCGAATTCGTATTATTAAATACAGAATCTTAATTATGAAGAGTTGTCTTTTATTGAATTATATAAATTAATATATTAATAGAGGCACATTTAAATGGTTTCTTTTTTTTTTTAATTTGAGTCTAACTTTTACTTTTGGAGGTTACTTTTTATTTCGTCTTTCATTTTGTAACACTACTTTTTTAATTACAATCTTATCATAGTCCATTCGCTACTTTCTTACCCATAAATAGCAGTTAGGGTGTCCTTATTATGCTAGCAACTTGGTCGGTACCTTCCCACTGTACTTTCCCCAATTACCGAAACATTGGTCTGGGGTGGTGGCGACCTTTCCCTTTTTCAATTTGCGTCCACGTCCGCGTGCTTGTGGGTTAATTTCTGTCTGCGTGACTGGCTGAGTCTACTATATGTTTGTGTACACGTCGTATATCGTATATAAGTTTGGCCTGGTAGTCGGGTTTTAACTAATAGCCAGCTGTCCAGCCAAGGCGGCTGCTTGAGGTTTCCCTTTGTTTGCTCTTTTCTTTGCCCGTGTCGTGTCTCTGGCTGCTTAGAGCCACCTTTGCCTGAACAGTTTGTATGGCAAATTGGAACAATAAATAAAAGTTAGCGCAAGCGCCGGAACTCGACTGCCAACAAAGAAGCTAAGTGTTCAAAGCGTCGGGAAAGGGCAAATGCAACTGCAGTACAAGGTCCCCAAAATCTTTACTTAGTAGCCCACTCCTAAAAGACAAGTTCTACCACCCAACTCGAACAGTAAACATAGTAATAAAGTTGCGCTTAACTTAACCCACTTTTTATGCATTCGGGTCACATTGTATTTGTAAAATCTAAATGTCAACAAACAAGTTTAAATTTGGATAAATTTGGCAATAATTTAAGAAAATGTAAGTCTTTGACTCTTTCTAGTGTAAGAAAAAATCATTAAATCTAACAAAATTTAATTTTTCTACCTAACTGAACTTGAGTTTGTACTTGCCAAAAATAAATATATTTTTTCAGTTGTTTATAAGTGTACATTTATTAACTTTAAATAGCTAAAGAGCTATTAAACAATTTATTTTAATTAGTTTTGAAAAACAAATTTTGTTGGGTTGTATTTTTATGAAAGAACTGAACACAGTGCTGATTTTAGCAAAAGTTTTGCATTTTGTGGCGTAAAACATTTCGTTTAAAATATACAGAGTGACATCACTAAATTTAATAGAAGCATGGTACAATAAACCCGAGGCGAGCAGTTCGCCAGTGTCCATTAATTTTGTATTCCCATGGAATCAATGCCCCTTGAATATTATTCCAGTATAATATATTTTTTTAATTTAGCAGACATTCCTTTTTGCTTACTAACAGCAAAGGGGTATTTGCTTTAAGGAACTTTTACAATTTAAAATCCATAGACCCTAGTAACTGGATTAGGTTAGTAGCAATCGTTAGTTTCATTGCCCGTTTCGCACAAATCCCCATTAGCTAAATCAGGTGAATGTACGGTATAAACAGAAAAAATCAAGTAAGAACGCTTTAGTTAAGTGACTTATGTTTTCCAAGAACAAGAAAAATATGTAGAACACTCTTTATTGAGTTCCAAATCTAAAAGGATAGCATACATTTGGGCGCTTCTGGGTCAGATTGCGTGCGGAGCTTTAATTGGTTGGTACACTCAGAGAAAAAACATGTGAAATATAATTATTTTCACCGAGGGATGTTTCATTTTTTATTTTTATTTTTATTTCTAAGTTTGAAAAAATTAAGCCTTAAAATTAAAAAAAAATTTATATCTACATGTTTTCTATTTGATAAACCAATTAAATAAATATAATAATAATTACATTATCATGTCCCTAGTTTTCTTTAAGTAAATTTATATTTTAATAAACAATGATACATTCAAAAACTTTAATGTTTAATCATGCTATACTTTTTTGCTGCTGTTATAAATGTAGCGGTCACTTTCTTCTTATTTGAGATAGTAAATTGTACTGATAGGACTATATTGCTTAAGATCTCTGATAATGTTAATAAAATTGGAATTTTTTTTTTTAAGAGTAAAAAAACCTTTATGACATCTGGCTTCGAATATATTTTCACGATCTTTGAGTGCCTATTTTCGAATGCTTTAGGTGAAGACTATCCCACCCTTAAAGGAATATCAGTACTCACTCTTTTCGGCCCGGGAGGCGCTCATGCCCCGGAGCGGCTTGCGGAAGTGCTTGCACCAACCTCGCCGCTGGAAGAGCTGCAGCAGACTGGAGGCCCTGGTGCTCGTCTGCGCGGCGGATGACTGCGGCTGGCCGTTGGGACCCAGCGTCTGCATGCTGGCGCCCACGCGCTCTATTTCCGACGAGCGGCACGAGGAGGCGTCTTCCACGGAGGAACTGCGCCGCTTCCCGTCATCGTCGGTGCGCAGGCACACGCAGCTGCGTAACATTCCGGTGGACTTAGTAACCCAAGACGTGACCCCAGTGTCTCCTCCTCCTCCTCCTCCTCCTCCTCGTCCTCCTTCGTCACCTGCCACCTTACTGGGATCCACACATGGGTTTGGGCGAGGTCCGCCTTATGTCACTCGCCTGACAAGGTAATATAATTTGCCCGCCAGCCAGCTGATGAGCCAGTGCCAGTGCCAGTGCCACTGCCAGCGCCTTGTTCGTCCTCCAAATGGCTGTCAGTCGGTGGATGAGAGATGGTATAGTGGTGTAGTGCTATAGTGCTATAGTGGTTCAGGGCTATAGGGGCTATCGAGGGGTCTTCAGGGGTCTTTAGGGGTCCAAGAAGTCTGACGTCTGACGCCTGACGTTGGCTAGTCGCTCGTCTCCAGCTCTTAATGCAAATTGATTTTATTTTCGCGTAATTTATTCATTTCGCTGTTGCTGATTGCGCCGCTCCTCATATTTCCATTGTGCAAAATCCGCGTCTTGAATTGCTCTCTCTGCTGCAAAAATAAGTTATCAAGAAAGTGATTTAAATATGTTTGGAACTTGTCATGGGAATAAAAAAAACTTTTGCATTAGCTGCAAATAATTTATGAAAGCAAATTTAACTTGAAATTAAGCTTGTCGTGAAAAGCCAAAATTTTGGACATTCATTATTGCTTACTCAACCACGATGACGTGGTACACCAACACTCGATTATAATTGTTGTTTATTTTGGCTATTATGAGCCATGTACAACGAGTCCAATTTGATTGTGGTTGACATGCGTTAATTCGGGACACAATTACATAAGAAATTCTTAGTTAATGGCAAGTGTAAATTCTCATAGTAACGAAATCACAGATTACAAGTAACATTTGATGATTCACTAGAAATGAATTTAGTTATGAAATGAGATGGCGAAATACAAGAAAAAACATAGACGTATCAACGTTGCTAAAACGAAAGTGGGTTTGACTAATTTATCAAATTTTTTTAAAACTGTATACTGTTACTCAAATTCTAAGATTCTATTTTTTTCTTTACTTTTTTTTCACTTATTCTTTCAAACCTGTTTAAAATCTATATGAAATTAAATGAATGGACAATAGAACTAATGTTTTTTAACCAATTTTCAGCGAATTCATTGTCCTTATTTTGTAGAATGCTTATATTTGTGCTTTCTTTACATAAGTTTTTTTTAAATAGCAAATGTAAATTCTCAGATTTACAAATACACAAACTACAATGCACATTTATGCATAAACTGGAATTTCTGTAATTTTTACTGAAACTTGCAAAACAAATAGGAGAGAAAAATGGAAGAGGATTTGACTCTATGAACCGTTTCTGCTTTCATATCTTTGCCCAATTGGAAGTTTATCTTTTCTACCCTAATAACATGCAAATTATATCGCCCTATATCGCCCAAAGCAAGACCATAAAATGTTATGCATGCATAGGTGATTACTTGTACAAGGCAGACGCAACATATGTAAAGAAGCCTTGGTATTATGTATGGAATCAATTGACTGCTACAGGCAGAGGATAGCTTTTCTGGCCAGAACAAATCGCCACCCTTTCGTGACCAGCATTTATGTATCCTTTCTAAGGAACCGTTGAACCGATACGCGACCACTATAGTATAGGTATAGTTATGTATATGCGAATGCTCTATTCACCAGAACGGATTGTGGCCGAGTGACCGAGGTCCTTTGTCCTTTCTGCCTGTCAGTTTCTATGCGGCCAGAGCTCCCCTGAGTGGCTGCAGACAAACAAACCAATTTTCACCAATTGAGCCATAAAGCCACACGGACAGCCACAGTCACAGCCACAGCCACACTCGCAGACAGCCCACACACCGACGGCGGATCCACCGAGTGTGAAATTAAAATGCTAACCTGTAGCGGCATCAGAACCAAGGACCAAGGACCCCTTAGATGGGGAAAGTCCTAAATATAAAGGCAGCGCGAAAGGTGCTATTGATTAATCGCTGGAAACATAATGCCAAATGGAATAGCCAGAAAGGCGTTTTATCCGCTATCCCTTGTACCATAATTTCGGGTGAAGCTTTGCAGATGCCAAGGATTTTCTTTGGGCGCTTATAAAGGCAATGAAAGTATTTTGGCTGCGAAACATTATGTTTCAGCTGACAAAATTTTATTGTCTTAAGTTAGTTTGTAATAAAAACGTTGTATTTATTTACTGCAATTTACTTAAAGGCTGATATTACAAGGCTAACTCTTGTACTTTAAAAATAAAAAGTCTAATTAATAAAATTAGAGTAATTTATAAAACCAAAAAATTTCTTGAAAATTGTCCATCCACTAAGCTTAATAAATACAATTATTTTAATGTATTGAAATATAACTTTTAAGATTTTGCAAGCAAGATTTTCTTATGCCAAAGCACATATTTCAATGGACAATGGAATTATTTTGTCTACGATTTGTTGCCAGTGGGATTAATTTGTCTTCAGCAAGTTCAATTTTCTCGAATTAATTTCCCATTGTAGAATGGAATTATTTATTTGCATTTTGCAGTTGAAGACATAAATTCAAATTCAACAAAATTTCTTGTGAATTATTGGCCAAGTTTGCTGGTCTTTATCACCGCCTCTTTGAACTGTAATACTCATGCAAATTTCTAATATTACATTTTTGTAGCCCAAGATTGAGGACTTAGGAGAACACTTAACTCCCGCTCAGTCGACAAGAAATTGGCTCCGCAGGTAAAATGCTTTTTTGGAATAAAATACAAAAAGAAGGGCCAATATACACCCAACGCAGACATTTGCACTTTGCCCCAATGGCACTTTCCGCGCGAAAATTTCGTTAGGAAAAATGTAAATGTAGCGGGAAAAGCAGGCGCGCGGCTTTTATCGAAATGTAATTTGTCTAAAGTGAAAACGACTTACAGTTTAAATGGCTTAAATTCTTTAAAGATTTTTGGTCACTTTGTGTAACTTGAATATGAAATTGAATATGGCAAAGGCTCAAAATAATAAATCACTTTTTGGCGCCGAATGGAAATAATTTAAAGGCCAGAAACAACATATAAATTTTCGATGATGACTTGACTTGTTTGATACAAATAATATTTATGATAAATAGGGCGTAATCATTGCTGCTTATAAATGACAAATTTGGCACCCATTTCCACCCACTTACATATTTTATTTAAATATAACACGAAATTCAATAAATGCCATTTAGACTGACGAGAAATGTACTCAACGAATTGATTTTATTTCCAAATTTAAAGCCCTAATTGTGTGAAACTTTAAAATTGAATTTGACTGGGACTTGCGCAGTCAAAAAACATTTCACTTAAATAAGATGGCAGACACAAGCCATCTGGCTGCCATTTAAGCCAATTAAGTCATGTATTGAAAACAAAAAAAAGTTTGGCTTATTCGGAAAATTTGTAGCTTATTGTTAAAAGTTCAACTATCCGCTAATTTTGAGCTTAAATGACTTGACAAATTCACACTGTTAATCATTTTTTTCTTGCACAACAAATTTAAACACTTCAAGATTGTGGTTTATACATAATAATAAAATACAAATTTTATTGAGACTGTTGATTATTATTGCACAATTTAAAAAGGGTCAATTACCCATACTGGTTACATTTAAAAGGTAGATATATATTTGTTGAATTTTGACATTAATGTCCATGATTTCTAAAACAATAAGATTTAATTTGAAAAAAAAACAATTTTTTTTTGAAAAGAAAAAGGTAATATAAGCTAATTGATGTAGTTGGCAGTGGCAAAAATTGCACAATTGGGACAAACAATTCCAGTTCCCGATTCAATATAAATGAAATTAAAAAAAAAATCAATATTAATTAAGGATGCTGTGAACGGAATTACATTTTAAAACCAGTTTTGTTTTGTCTACTAATTACCCATACTCTTTCTATTTAAATGGAATGCATTTATGAAACTTAGCATCAGTGGCCTAAATTTCTAAAGCTTTGATATCACATATCAAAAATATTCGCTGCTGCTTTTCACTTAACTAAAATGACAAATTAAGGAAGGCAGACAATTTAAGCCAAATGATGCAGTTGGCAGTGACGAAAATGGTTTTAGGCCGACTTGATCGATTCCAAGAATTCGAAGTCCACTGGCCAACTCTATTTATTTCAATTACCACAGCCTAGTGGCCAATTTCCGGTTTCCGGGCTGCCGGCCGATGTGCGGGTGTCTTGGGTCACAACAGCCAGATAATGAGATTATCCGCCAGCACATTTGCAGACGGGAATACGCTATTTGTCCATTAATCCCACGGCCAGAGGCGAGCCAACCGAAGTTGGTCGACAGAAAACGGAGACTGGCTGTAATGTGTCCTGCCAACTCATGGTTGGCTATCCCGTTGCCTCCCATTTTCCAGCAATTGGCCAAGTGCGTGTGTGGAGCGATCAAAAAATGATTGTTGGCCTGACTCAATTACGATAAATTGCACGTCAGCCTGTGTGACAATCAGCAAATTTGCCCGCATTTCAGTTCCGCAAACAATGCTTATGGGAGCCCAGCAGCAATTAAGTTAGTATTTACTGAAGATAATGTTTCAAGTCGGAGGCGGTGGCGGTGGCTGCATAAATGTATGGGTAAACAACACTTTCTATAATACCCAATATTGGTGGGTGGAATACCAAACCATTGGGGACATAGATAAGTTATTTCGCTTTGTGATTCCCAAAAGGGGAATTCCTTCTTTGATTTACCATAAATGCGATAAAACAAATTTTATGCTTCAATTTAACACACGACTAACCACAATTACTTGTCAAACGAACAGCATGTAAATGCAAACAATCTAAATTAAATTAAATTATGCTACAAATTTGAACAAATCGATATTGAATTGTTGTAGCATCAATAAAAGCAGGATTTGGATTATTGCAATGTTTCTTTTGTAACATAATGTTAATTAAACTAAAAAAAATCTTACTTTTGAAATGATTGAAGCAGCTTTCAAATCAAAGTTACCAAAAACTGAAAAAACTAATCATTCTTTGCAGATTTGGTCAGAACTTGTAATATTTAGAACATATTTTATCGGTTGCTTAATATTATTTTAAATTAAATGACATTTAATTGATAAAGAACCATTTTATTTACAAAGTTTACTTTTAAAGGTACTCGATACATACATTAAAAGCGCTGTGAAGTTGCAAAGTGCCTCGCTAATATGCTCTCATTTTCCTTCTAGAAATAATTGGGCTAATTATCGGGACTCACAAGGTCAGTCATCAAATTTGTTCACTCAAATTCTTCGACAGGTAATTTAGTTACTCTACGCTTTTAATTAAGTTGCCCTAGTCAATTTGGTAGAGGGCACGTAACTGGTAACAGGTAGGTTGAGAGCAAGGACCTGCAAGGATCTATGGACGCATCACGCACTGCCCATAAAGGTGTTCCGTTCAATTTTGCACTTTTACTGCCCGAACTCACTTTTGGAAGGGCCCATTAACAGGGCTGCGAAGGTTTTAACGACTGTGAAATGATGTCAGCTCGGATGCTGATGCTCGTCATCGTTAAATTGGAAATTAACGCAGATTGAGCGTCGGGAGCCGACACCTTCAGCCACAGCCATATGGACTCAAATTTCCAGCCAGCTGTGAGAACCATGATTTATTCACCCTAACTACACTCAGAAAAGAGTGCCTTAATACCACTTTGAGTGGATGGACGAGCTAACATAAAACCCAGAATGGCTTAAAAATTTACTAAAAGAGTATTTTTAAATATGTACAAGCTTGATTGCATCGTTTATGTGGCAATTCGTTGAGTGAGGTTTTGAAAGAAAGCTTTTATTTTCTTTTTATATTTGATGACTAAACATTTTGGGAAGGATGCAAAGGTAAGGGTGCAGTTTAAAAGCTGTAAAACGAATCTGAACAGGAAAACGTTTATGACTTCCGTGCGATTATGTGTAAATGGACGACGGTACTTGTACTGGCATTTAATGAGCCGCAGACCTCAGCTAGAACTTTCAGCCCAGTGTAGCTGCAAAAAAGTGAGCGAACACACAGCGACTTAATTGCCATGGAAAAGTATCCAAATACCGACCTTGTGCCAAAGGCATCGGCATCGGCATCGCCATCTCCATCGCCTTCGTTTTGGTTAACAAATCAGGCGTGAAAATGACGGCACCTTGCTCCATGGGGGATGGAAGCTTAACTGCTTAATTTAATCGATTTTCGTTAAGAGTTTTAAATTTCTTATCTTGTTTGGATAAACGAATGGTAGTATGGAGCTTTTAATGTGGGTTATTCGTCAGATGGGGCTGTGTTAAAATTCCTTCCGCTGGCCTCTTAATATCCTGCCTATTTTAAGTTTATTTAAGTTAATGGAGCCAAATGGTTAGAAAGCGTTTTGTTAAAGGTCCTCGCAGTTCATCTTTAATGACCATAAAAACAAATAAAGACATCCTTAAAATTTATTTATTCAATTGGATAAACTTATTAAATCTTTGTTAATGATATTATGTGGGGGTGCTACAGAAATCACAGGTGTTTTTAAATAAAATAAGAGTGTGCAATGAAAAATAAAAAAAATACTTCTTTCGTATCGATAAAAAATATATTGTATGTTAAGCATACATGACTATATGCAGTTTCAAAGAAGCAAAATTGATGCTAAATTCTCTACAAAATCGATTATTTTGTTTGTGGCAACTATGTACTTCTCCAAACAATCCCATCTTAATGGGTTATTTTTTACTAAAACTCATTTAAAAGGGGGTTTGAATATTTTACTTATTTAAGAAGTCTTAAATTTCGTATCTCCTTTATACAATGTCCTTTCCTTAGCCTCTTAAATATATTCTAATACATCTGTACCTATAGTATCAAAGCATCTTGGTTAATAGTCTTAAGTTAATTGCTTTTTGGTTTCAGTCTGGTACCCGTGGACTGGCAATGAAACTTTTGAACAATCAACTTAATTCAAGCCGACATTGAATCCCACCGCAACTTTCTACCGAATTTAAATGACTCGAAGTTGGCATTTCGTGTTAAGAGAACACCAGAAACAAGGCAACTTCAAGGAGCTGCGTTTGCTCGGTTTCGGCCACCTCGGAAAATTGGGGATAAGCCATAACAAAAAAAATTAAATCAGAAGTGGTGAGAAATTTTGGGGCTGCTGGCGTGTCGCCACCGTAAAGAAGCCGCCGGGAATTCGTGCGAAAAAATAAAAGAACTGTGGAAAAATAAACGAAATCACGAATATAAGTAAGTAAAGTCCCGAGGAAACAAAGGGAGCGAAAGAAAAAGGCTGGAAATCAAATGCCAAACGTCAACGAGATTTGTTGCCTGTGCGGCACATAAAACTCATTCTCACTTTTACAACCTCTCGGAGGTGAGCGTTTGCTAATCTTCCGCCGGTCCGCCGTCAATTGGCCCAAATCCGAGCGGGCGGGTTGCCCAAATTACGAGTGTGGGACAAGCAAAGCGGGCACAAGGTAAAGGACCTAATAAATTCCAACTCGGATTCAATCCCCAATCCTATTCATACGTGTCCGTGCGTCTGTTTTTATGAGCACCTCAATATTTCGGGGTTATTTTTGTAATGTAACAAATGGTGTTCATTTTTATTTGGTTGCTATTAGCTAGACAGGCAATGAATATGGGAATATAATAAAAATCTTTCTTTTTCTAATTGGTGCACAAATTGAGCGTTATGTTTTACGTACAGTTAATTGGTTCTATAACACAGAACAAACAAATAAAACAGCAAATAAAGAATATTAATGTTGGCTTTGTTGATAGTTTGACAAAAGTATCTGTCATTATTAATTTAATTGACACATTTTACCATTAAATACAAATTTGTAATTGGAATTCCTAATATAAAAACACTGTCATCTTAACAATACGATTGCTAAAATGTAGAAAAATGCAGGCGCATTATAATGGGTATTAAAAGCCAAAGAGAATGAATTTTGCGGGAGGCCAGTAGATTTATGCGATAATATACGACACATTTTGAGACTCTAAGAAATTCTTTTAAAATTTGTGCACACGTACAAGCCAACCGCTTTTTATTTACATTTTCTTCCCAGTCTGCTCGGCTAAGTCTGTTGTTATTGCTTTTTCTTGTTTATTTTAAAAACACTGCACTTGTCTGTCCTCATTTTCCTAAAAAGTTCGCCTCCGCCAAATGGGAAAAAGATAGGTCAGAAATAAACATACATACAACAAACATACTTATATCGTATAACAATACTTGTCGAGTGTTATGCATAGTAAATATACAAGCAAATGGATAAATATTGTAGATTGAGCAAAAATTGCGTTCTCTCATGTGGAACACAATATCATAACTAATTCACATGGCAAACACCTTCGAGTTTTAATGGATCCGTTAATTTATTATTAATTTGCTACATATCTTCCTTATTTCGTCTGCTAGCTGACATCACCTTTGGTATTTTATTTGGTTATTCGTTTCCAATTTGGTCAATTTTTATTGGTTTGAATTAAACTTATGTACATATGTAAAAACAGTTGTTAATAAATTCTTAACATGAAGTTGCAGATGGGATAATAATTAACTTTTAGATAAATGGGATATTTTTTTGCCAAGTTTAGGTAATTTTTTTGTGCTCCGTGTACCAGTGATAGATTTACTATTTATATGTGCATGGAACGTATGGGAATGCATTTGCTTCGCTTGTATTTTCGAGTGCTTCCCATCAGACGGTCGATTTTAGCTTTCGGAATTTGTTTGTAATTTCCCAAACGACGCACTAAATTGAACAACGCGAATAAAAAAGCGATGCGGTTGGAAAGTTTTTGGCATTAAGGATATGCTACCACCACGTTGCCTCCGTGACCATTGCGTTTTGGGCGGCACAAGTGGCCGAAACGTGAAGGCGTCAGCGTAAACAAACACAGAAATTTCATCGGACCAGAGAGAGATAAACGGCGACGACAATAACGGCAGAAATATACATATACCATATAGGAGGCGGCAAAAGGCATTAAATGAAGCCACACACAAAAATGTTCTCGTGGTGACAGATATAACAAAACACAACAAGAGGAAGGGGTGTTCAAAAGCATATGCTGCTGCTGTGAATCGGAAATAGCGCGTACTGAGCGGAGAGCATTACGTATACGTACGGGTGGTCGCGGTCCGTTAATCGGGCGTCCGTGGCGCGTGGAATACCGTTACAAACTGAACGCAGGCCACAAGCTCGGAAATCCTTTTTGGCCTCAGCCGCTGCCGCTGTTGCTGCCTCTGCCTCTGCCTCTGCCGCAGTCGCTGCCTCAGTCGGCGTCGCTGCCGTCCTCTCACTCTTTCTTACTCTCACTATTTGTCGCCATGCTGCCAAAAGCAAAACAAAGAGCGATGGCCGCATCAGCTGATTGCCCTGTTTCATTGCCATTCCCGTTGCTTTTGCAGCGGAGGCTGCGCGCGGCTCTCTTACTCTCTCCCACGCATTTCAGGTACACTGGAAAAACAAAATAATATGATATGAGGTAAATCAGTAAATATTACTCTTACCATTTAGTATGGTAGATCTGGTTGGGCAATAAATTTTTTAGAAAAATTAAAATTGGGTATTGTAAATCGTTGAATTTTGGTTTTAATCCTTTATTGAAACTTTGCTTAAAATAAAACATTTGACCAAAGGCGCCAGTACGTATGAGTGATAAACTATAAAGTCAAGTCTCAGTTCTAAAAGATCTTGTTTCAACGTATATTTTTTTAATTAAACCAAAGCGAATAGTATAAGCTGGTAAGAGTAATGACGCTAAAATTTGCATTAATGATTATCACCTTAATAAATTTTAATCAAGTTGAATTCTTTTTATATATACTTATTTTAATATATATTTGTTTTATTTTTATATATTATTATATTATATAAAACGATCCAAGGCATTTCTTGCATAAACAAATAATAGGTAATCTTTAAATTTATCATAATATGATATCAAATTTTTTGACTGTGTAGAAAAGAGAGGGAGCGGAGCAACGATGCTAATCCAAAGATGCCAAGTTTGATAACGTTTCTTGTGTTTGCATTTCAAATTTATGATATGCATCTTTCAGTGAAAACTTCGACCAGACGTGCCGCTACTTTTGGAGGGATAGAAAGTCGAAAGAAAACATGCTAGATAGAGGAATCTATAATACAAAAAGCCATTAATTGGATTATTTTCAGATTAATGGGGAGCATCAATTATTATAAATTTAACATTAAATAAAACCGTTGCAAACACTTTTTTTATCGAGTATTTTATATGCGCAACCAGTATTCTGCACAAAAGAATTTAAAATTACAAAGCCAACTCAAAAAATTCACAAATTCTTTATCTAAATTTTTGAATTGTTGAACTAATTATTATTTTCGTAGCAATCAAAAATATTAAACACATTATATGAATTAATCACATTGTGCTAATGGCGAAATTAATTTCTTAGAATTATAATTTAATTTAAATATTTTCTGACACCTGTTTGATGATAGCAAATTGAAGATGGTAGCAAACACTTTTTTATTTTTTTGTTAGCAATGTACGAAAATACCTCCACACAACCTAGAGCTTTGTTTGGGTTCCATTCTTGTATATTGATTTTTTCTTCGGTTCCATGGCCTTTATGGGTGTCGTATATGTACAATGGGAAGTCCAAATGCCGCCAAGCCTTCAGTTCGCCACTTGGTGTGATTTTGGGCCTGCGGCCTCGATGGAATTTTGTAGCTGAAATTCACGAAACCGAAAATTAGGGCTGTCCCCAGCTCCCTTACACTGACCCGGTTTTGGGTTTTCGGCAGCCGAAGCTTTAACTTTAATGCCAATTAGGTCCTGGGCGGGTGAACCGCCATTAGTGATTACGGAATGTTCGGGCCCACTTCAAATTCAGTTAGCGAAGGTGCGTGCGATACAAGCTTCCGCTGCAGTCGATAAACTTTCTCTGCATTTCATGAATACAAACAAGGCGGGTCAGATGAAGAAAGATTACCGTTCACAATCTAATCCCCCCACGGGTACGTCTCCTTGAACTAGCTGGGGAAATGCGAAATGCTTCCGATACATGTCGATTCAGTTACGGATTAGTTCGCCGTCCGTGTCCCAAAATTAGTTGTTCGTTGGTAACTCCTTAAGCCGGAAGGACTTTATCTAGTAGCACATCTAAGTTCATTCGCATGGAGGAATATTTAAATACCAAATACGGATATTAAGTTAATAAAGGAGCAATAACATTTATAGCAAACTGGACAAAGTCTTACTACTGAACTTCTTTGCTTTTTAAAACTTTATTTAAATTTAAATAAATTCAATTTATTAATATATACATATAAAATAAGAAAAAAAAAGAAATTTCACTTGAACGAATTGAATTGAACACCCTTCGGTGTTTCGAGGTGTTATTATTATCTTTTTATTTTCTTCATATCACAGTCGATTGTTTTATCCCATCATCGCCATAAGCCCAGTATTTACCTTTTCATCTGTTATTGAAATCCACAAGACAGGTTCAAATGCAGCCTTCAGGTAAAAGTGCAAAGGCAAGTACAAAACACTCGTGGATTTCCGAAAGGTCGCGTGTCCTCGGCGCTGTTCTTATTGGCATCCTCATCCGGTTCCGCGCACTGTTTTGCATATTCCAGTACTAATGGCCGGTTGACCGGTTGGCCGCACGCCACACTCGCCCGAGTAGCTTGGAAAGCCAGGTGGGAGCTCCTTCGTGCTGGCATGCCATTTAAAAACATCCCATAAACATTTTGCTCAGTCCAGTATTTAAAAAGGCTGCATGCGAAATTTTAGCGAACATAACATCAAAGTTCAAAAGTGGCCAACTTAATTAATATAATGAGTAGCGCAATAATCCAAATTGCGAGGTCCTTGACATATGGTGCAATAAAAAATTTAAGGCTTGATCAACAGTTTTTCAAAAACACTTTATTTTATATTAATTACAATTTTTATTTTAAAAACAACATGGAAAAACATTGTTTTATACTTAAATACATTTAGTACAAGGTTGGGACCTCAAGCTAAACATCATTGACCTAGGTAGCACCCTTTAATCGCACTTTGGTCTCCGGTGAACACCTGTGCACGCCAAGAGAATTACATGACAGAGTTTACGTATACGAACTCAATTAGTGCAAGTGAGTTCCAGTAAATAGTAATTGAAAAAATAAACACTTGTTTTAATAAAGTTGAAAATTAAAAGAGAGCAGGTGTCGAAAGTATTAAAGAAAGTATTAATTATTGTTATTAAAATGATTCTTCGTCTGTGACTTTAGTATTTAAGATTTGGCTAAAAATTTGTTTTTGATCTTAATTTGGTAAGCTTTTATATATAAATAATTTGTATTATTTAAATAAATTTTAAGAAATTTGTCCAAATTTAAAACGAACCACGTTAAATGCACACTAAACTAATCACAATTTTAATATAAATGAAGTGACTAATTTTAAAAATGCATCGCAAGAGTTATTTCAGGTTTGGGTCGTTTAAACGTTGTCAAAGTCAATGATAATTTTTTTCTGTCGGGGGAGGTGTCGGGTATATTTCACACCCGCTGCATCTAGCATCTTCTTGGAAGCCACGTACTTGGGCTTATTGGCATACTTGTCGGACAGGAAGAGAATCTCAGAAATGCCCGCCTGCAAGATTTATTAAAATTAAATAAAACAAGAAAGAAAGCAAACTTCGGCAAGCCGAAGTTCATATACCCTTGCAGCTATTGCATGAATTAAATACTTTTGAAAACATTTAAATTATGATTTACTTGAGTATATACTGAAAAACAGTGAAGCTATGATGATTTGCAGCTCAATTATTAGATAGTTATTTTATATATTTTTATTAGTTCTATGGGAGCTATATGATATAGACGTCCGATTTTGATAAAATTTAAACCATAATTCTGAAATAATTAAACATTGCCATATGTCGAAGAACTAAACAAAAAATTAAAAAACAGAAAAGTTATAATTTTTTTTCATTTATTTCTCCGATTGTTCCTATGGGACCTATATGATATAGTCGCCCGACTTTGATGAAATTTAAACCGTAAATCGAAAATATTTAACCATTACTAAATGTCGAAGAACTAAACAAAAAATTAAAAAACAGAAAAGTAATAATTTTTTTTCATTTATTTTTCCGATTGTTCCTATGGGAGCTATATGCTATAGTCGTCCGATTTTGATGAAATTTAAAACGTAAATCGGAAATATTTAACCATTACTAAATGTCGAAGAACTAAACGAAAAATTAAAAAACAGCAAAGTTATAATTTTTTTCATTTATTTTTCCGATTGTTCCTATGGGAGCTATATGCTATAGTCGTCCGATTTTGATGAAATTTAAACCGTAAATCGGAAATATTTAACCATTACTAAATGTCGAAGAACTAAACAAAAAATTAAAAAACAGCAAAGTTATAATTTTTTTTCATTTATTTTTCCGATTGTTCCTATGGGAGCTATATGCTATAGTCGTCCGATCCGGCTCGTTCCGACTTATATACTAACTGCAATAGAAAGACAGCTTTTGGGAAAGTTTCATGCAGATAGCTTTAAAACTGAGAGACTAGTTTGCATATAAACGGACGGACAGACGGACAGACGGACAGACGGACAGACGGACAGACGGACGGACAGACGGACATGGCTAGATCGACTCGCCTAGTGATGCTGATCAAGAATATATATACTTTATAGGGTCGGAGATGTCTCCTTCACTGCGTTGCAAACTTCTGACTGAAATTATAATACCCTCTGCAAGGGTATAAAAAGAGCTAATGTATAGTTATGCTTAAGAAAAATAGTTTGCCAAGAACCCATGCATAAAACTTTTTTAATTTTATGTTAAAATAGTTTTAACTAAGTGACCGAAAACAAATTTCCATTGGACACAAATTTATTTCAAATAAAAAAAATTGGCTACCATTTTTTATATGCGACGTATGTTTTCCAATTTATGACAAGAAACCACAAAATCTAAAGTTTAAATACATTTTAGAAGTCATTCAAATATAAACAATTTCTTTACTATATTTGTATATATAATATACTATATTTAGTAAAAACTATATTTTATTTCCAGTTCTGATGGAACAGATTAAACGAGGTTCGTGCTTACCTGTATTATGAGTTTGGCGCATTCGTTGCAAGGAAAGAGCGTTGTATAGAGACGGGTTCCAGTTAAACTCATGCCATTGTTGTTAAGGATCGCATTCGCCTCCGCATGCACCACGTACATCTTCTTGTCCTCCAAGAAGAAATGGGATTTCGACCACGGAAACTCGTCGTCGCTGCAGTTGCGGGGGAATCCATTGTAGCCAATGGACACTATCCGATTCAGGGAATCCACGATGCAAGCTCCAACTTGGGTCACGGGATCTTTACTGCGCTGGGCTGAGAGCAAGGCGGTGGCCATGAAGTAATCATCCCAGTGCAGATAGTCTTTTCTCTTATGGTTCTCAGGCGACTGTGCATCCACGGTATTTGTGTCTTGATCGGGAACTTCTTGGGACATTTTACTAAAATAAATAGAAGGTATCTATCAGTTTATTGTTTTTTAGAGAAAGGTATTTACCTATATTATTTTTATTTTCGATAATCAGAACATTTCAAAAGCTACATTTATTTTTTCTTACTTGTTTCGTTCACCAGAGCTTCACAATCACAAATGCAATATTCTGTTGGATTTATTTTTTTATTTTCATAATCATCTTAATAAATGTAATACAAATACATTCATACTTTCCATTGACATTTTCAAAACCAATACATGATTAAAATAAGCTATACATATGTATTGTAGCACATTATAATTAGCGATAAGGCTAATAAAGGCGTTGAACACAACTGGTTAATGCCGTTGAAAGAAAAAGTATGGTAAATGATTGATTAAACACAATAAGAGGAAATTCATAAGAAACCAAGGTTTCCTTAAAAAAAAAACCCATTTCGGTTTTGAAAAAACAAAGAGAACCAATTTAGTTGTCATATTTTCCATTTTATTTTCATTTGTTCTTTTCCTAACTTTTTCATGTCCAGTGTATTTTATTTGTATTTTGGGTGATGGGTATTTGATAGTCAAGGAAAGCAGGACAACTGTGTGCACATACTTTATTGCATTCATTAGACAAAACGATGATCGCAGCTATGTTTCAGCAGCAATAATAATATTTTATGTATCATAAATTGGAATATACAGCGAATACTTTCAATAATAATTTTCATATTCAACTCAATGTGTGGTTAGGCGAGAGTGCGTAATTAAAACTACCTAGGTGCCCTTCTGCACCTGGATGGGATTCTGCTTGAGGTGCAGGTAGATGGATCGCATGCGGGAGACATCCTTGCCCGCCTTGTTCACCTTGGGGTTGAAGTCGCAGAGCTTGGCTATGCGCTCCCATTCGGTGCCCGGTTCGATGGAGCCGTTCTCCAGGGTGGCGGCCTGCTTCTCGGCATTGCGTGACGCCAGCTTGGTCTTCGATATGGACTCGCCAATCTGGCGCAGCCAGTCGTCCAATTCCTTTTTGGACTGCTGCCGCAGCTCCTCCTTTTTCCGCTCCTCCTCGATATCCTTCTCTTCGAGTCGCTGTTTCTGCTCCTCCCGCCACTTGCGTATCTTTTCGGGCTCTTCCCGGGAAGGTGGTGGTCCCGATATGCCGACGGGTTCATTGGACTCGCCCCCGATCACCTCGAAGCTGCCCGTAGAGGATTCCAGGCCACCGCCACCGCCTGCTGAGAGAAGATCTCCTCCCAGGCCGTCGGAGGAGCCTCCTCCGCCCAGGAGCTCGCCCAAACCATCGTCTGTGGATAGAGCAGCAGCAGCTGGAGCGGATGCTAAGGCGGATCCCCCCGTAATCTCCTCCTCCAGATCACCGAGAGCCGACTGTTCGCGCGCCAGGAACTCGGCCGCCGGATCCACCTCCTCCTTGGCTGCGAAATCGTCTCCAAAGTCCATGGCGATGTGCTCTGGAAATGTTGTGATTGCTATTTAGTGGGCGTCTCACCCAAATTACACGTACGCAGAGGTGCAACCAGCTGCGGGCGGTTTTCCAAGTGATCCTGCGGCACCTGGTCACTACGCACCTCTCGTTTGATTCGGCTGGGCCTAAATGAAGATCGATGTGGGCGGATGACTAACCGGAAATTCGGGCAAAACTATTTTTTCAGTTTTCTTTTAGCAATGAATACGTAAAATGACTGTCATTAGTACGTGAACCAACAATAAAACAGCAGGTTATCGAACTGGTTCCGGTTGAACAGTGCTGGAAAATGTGTCACATATCGCAGGGTGATGAACTTGTTTATTTTATATACATATAACTTATTCAATATCCAATCAGAATTTTATTAACATATATACACAATTATACCTCATTGTTCAGTTGCTGACAATTTTACTACTGGTTGAATTGAAACAAGCAGTTACGCTTATGAAGTGTTGACTAACGCCCGAAAAGCCCACAAAGGATAATGGTTTAATTCATGTTTCATGGTAGAAAAATCTGTTAAGCTAGTAATAATTTCTAGTACGCAACAATAAAAGTTTATATTGTCCTAAATAATTATTTCCATTTTATTTATTAAAATATGGCCCGAAACCCGTTACACTTTTATCAGTCGTATCGAATTCACCACTGGGGTTTAAATGGAACTCGAATCAATTCAATGAGTGTTGAAAAATGTGTCAATGGGGGTGGTTTGTTTTGCTAAACTTTTTTGCTTAATTTTAAAGTATCATAAGTTAAACTTAAAGAGCATAAAAGTTATCTTAGAAATAAACATTTTATTATATTTTTAAAATATTGTTCAAATTGCCAACTGGGTTTTTAAGATTAACTAGTTCCACTTTCCAGTGTTAGTTAACGCGCGACTGGAGTGTGTACAGCTTGGAGCCGAGTAGCGACTAAATTGTTTATACTTAATCAAATGTGCCTTAATCAGTGGTCATAAAATGTTAATAAACAGCATAGTTAACTATTAAATGGTAAACAACTGGCACAGTAAGTGTTTCAGCAATGAAATGGGTATTATACAACACTTGCGACTATGGCGCAGCACATGTGAATTTAATTACTTGTGAAACTCCTGTAAAAGACACATAGAAACATAACTATATTCGCGATTGCACTCACCTGTTTGACGAAAAAAAACACGGTATCAACTATAATTTTTTAAACAGCAACGGAGACAAAATGCGACGACGGCAATACAAACAATAAACACTCGCCGCGCGAACTAGTGAACCAGTGAACTAGTTCACTTTGGCATCATTCACCTGAGCCAGTGGTTCGTTTTTCACTGGCAGCAAAGCGGCCATTTTGGAGATTGTTTCATCCACAAAAAAGTTATGCACCGAATCTAAAAAAAAAAAACGTTGCGCCCGGAATTGATTCATAAAATCCGCTCGTGCATTTGGAGCGTGTGTGCAGCCCGATGTGAAGATAATGCTGGATCCGATTCTATAACGCCTAAAAGTTAGTGACTATCTTTCCAACACGCACGCATGTACGCCCGTGTGTGTGAGTATGTGTTTGTGTGTGCATGGATACATATATGTACAAGCGTAAAATACGGAAAAAAATCCTATTCCTAGCAAGAAAAACATTCTCAAAATTGTTAACAAAACGCATCAAAATGTGATGAAATAGCCATTGTAAAGTTATAAGTGAGAATCCTATTATCAAATTACCAAAGGAGCTGGCGAAATGCGGGCTCTTTTTCCCGTCGAGCGCCAAGACACAAAATACAGACGCCAAATTTTTGAAGGGGGAACCAAGCGCATCGTGGCCAAAAGGGATACAAAAAAAAAAAAAAGGGGGGGAGACAATGAGTGCAAAAAAGTATGGAAACAAACACCCCAGTTCCGGTTTTTCCCTATTGCAAACTCGCAATTTAAGGCAAAAATATTAGATTTTGATAACAAAAACATTAGGATAAACAAATGTTATCGCCAATTTAGTTAAAAACTCCTAAAAGCGTAAAAGCTTAATTTACTACTTAATCTTTGTTTAAAAAATAATTTGTTAAAAAACAAAAATGTTTTAAATTATTAAAAATTGTTTGAAAATAGAAAAACCAAAACTATATTTAATTTAATCAATCTCTTAAAAAAATAATTTAATCACAATTTATCATAAAATAATAATAACCACTGTTGGCGCCATTTATTTGAGAAATATAATTAATATATAGTATGCCAAAATGATAACCAAGATCTTTAGGAGTTATTTCATAGAATCAGCTTTAGTTTATTAACAATAAGTACTTGCTTAATAACAGTTCTTATAATTCAAAATAATTTTTAGCTTTTTAGTTATAAATTTTTGATAGATTCAATAGGGTTGAACATTGCTTTGTATTTGGGCGGCACAAAAAAGATAAACCCCAATCATCCGAAAAGTGGGATAAGTAGAAATAGTGGGATAAGTAGGACAGTCACTTCTTTTAGATCGCCACTTGATTAAACAATCCACTGACAAGTTTTTATATATATTTCAGTTACCAGCCAGCAGCAGTAGAAGAGTCCAAGCTAACCATGGATCCAAATTCCAGTCCCTGGTCGTACGCCTACAACCGCATCGTGCCCGCCAGTGCCGGAAGTTCCGGCGGAACAGCGGAGGACTTCCAGCATCCGCACCTGGCCACCATCACGGCTGCCAGCATCGCCAGCTTCAATGCGGCGGCCGCCAGTGGTGGCAGCTTTGTGCCTCCGTCGCCGATTGGCAGCTACAATCCAGTATTCCAGCAGATCTACCACCACGCGGCGGCGGCCAGTGTGCAGCCGAAGCCCGCCCACTATGCCTCCTCGGCGGTTAGCACGCCGCACCGCCAACTGCAGCTCCCCAGCTCGCTGGACAAGCAGCTCAGTTCGTTCCAGAACCAGGCGGCTGTGTCGGCGGCTGCGGCCGCCGTAGTCAATAATGTGGCCTCGAATTACTACGGGGAGAACTCCTCGTCGAGTGGAGCCTCGCCGTCGCCCACAACGGTGGCGCTGACGTCGACGTCGCTGACCTGGAACACGCCGAACATGATATCGAACACCTTCCTGGCCATGCAGCAACAGCAGCAGCAGGCGCAGCAGCAACAGGCCCAGCAGCAGCAACAGCAGGCCCAGCAGCAACAGCAGCAGGCACAGCAGCAACAGCTCAACCTGGTGGCCGACAAAGTGGTGAGTAGGCTTCTTTTGTTTTCCGTTCGGCTTGCAGATGTCACTCCACTCTCAGTAAACCAGCTTCTGGGGAAGCACCCACACCCACCCACTCATTAAAACCACCGCAGGTTCTGTCGCATTTATCGCATACTAACATAAACTCCAGACCCCCCCGCAAAAAAACAACCCATTAAAGCTTAGACTAAGTCTAGCCCTCTCTCTCTATGTCGAATCAAACCCAAACCAAACACTTTCCGATTCCGATTCAATCTATGTACGGTGCGCTGTAGCAGATTAAGCAGGAAAAGCAATTAAAAGCCTACAACGACTCGATTTACCTGATCCAGCTGCAGCAACAGCAGCAGCAGCAGCAACAACAGGCGGCGGCGCAGCAGCAACAGCAGCAGCAGCTCCAGCAGCAGCTGCAGCAGGAGATCGCCGATGCGGACCCGGAGCCGGACACATATTATACGATCGATGGCCGGAAGGTCAAGGTGACGCGCAAGGATGGCCAGCCGTTCCGGGCGACAATAGTGGAGCAGCAGGACGGTAGTCCGGTGCCGCTGGCAGTGCCAGTTCCGGCTGGCTCCTATCCGGCGCAATATGCCAGTCCGGCGCTAAGCTCCGCAGATGGGTCGCCCATTACGAATTTACATGCCGTGGACGTGGTCAGCACACCGCAGGCCCAGGTGATCGTCTACAAGACGGCGTCCCCGGTGCATAGGCGGTCGGAGGCAGGCGCTGGCTCGTCTGCTGCTGCCACACCCACCACGGTGGCCTACTCATCTGTGATACAAAGCACCCTGCAGCAGCAACAGCAGCAACAGCAGCACCAGCA